CAGAACTTGGAAGTGCTAAACCACTATTTCATGCCTACGTGGTCAGCTGAGGCTGCATGACATAGGATAAAAGAAACACAAAACAACTCAACCACTGGTCATTATGAGACTTGTCACACAACAATGACAAAGATAGTAGACTCTACATCACTCCAAACAGCACGGATCTGTTTGCGTGTGTCTGTGCTGCACAAACTGTAACAGACTGCCCCTGTCTAGATTCATCAATGTGTAAAATTATTCTAATAACATGCTCAGTTATAACAGGGTTCCCATCATGTCAGAATGAGATACATCACAGCATGACAACGGGTAATTGCACACCAAAGGCAAATGCCAATGAACGGTGTCACAATTTCATTTTCTATGGATGCAGATAGGCCTCTCCGCACAGCACTGATCCGCTGATCCATGACCAAGAACTTAACCTCAGCCTCATGTGGGACTGCTCTATGTTCTCTTCTGCCCGTTATGCTGGAACAAATGAGCTCCATACTTCAAACTAGTACACTGTTTGCCCTTTAAATTGATTGTTTAACCCTGTATGCAACTTTGCTCTAACCAACCTACATTTTTACCCTCTCTTACAATGACGTTGAAGACTGTCTAAGCGTATCAGTATCTGGTTACCCTGTGAGCTTCCTCCATTTTCTACAAGCGAGTTAGCCATGTAATCAACCTAATGATATGCATCCTGACGCACATACCACCATCCCCTATGCTAATGATGATATTGCATGATACACATGGGCTGTAGTGAGGCATGTATCAACAAAATGCACGCAGCAATATGGTATGCGTTTAACCTCAATTTTAAAGATTGTTGAGTCACTGCAAAATAATGTTACGTATAGATTTAGATGGTTTGCAAATTATTTAAATACTATAAATAGTGTAAAGACAATGTTTCAGGAGTTAACTGAAAACATTCATTGTTTATGCTCATTTTAAATGTAATGCCAGTAAGACCTTTTAAAATGTTGATACAAGGACAGCATAATCAAAAAAGTTTTGTAACACATCAAAAGATTTTTTAATCTTAGTTGAAATTTGCCAACTAATAAGGTTAATTGCAACAGGTTAGAAAGATGGCTAGGTATAATAACCAAGCAGTATTCAGGAGAGGCTGAGTCCCTCAGTAACAAAGCGAGGAAGGCTTTCGCTACTCTGTGAGAGACCGGGTCAGCAAAAAGTTTATCCATTGCAAAGCGATGTTTCTCAGCATAAAATTGCAAAGAATTTGAGTGTATTTGTTATCGTAAAACTAAAATACAATTTAAGTCGTCAGGGTTACGCTAAATCATGCATTACCTTACTCAATTCAACTAATGACATCCCTTAACTTTAAATCCAGTGAAATCTCAAAACCTCAGTCAGATGTTTCTTTATTATTTGGGTGAACAGGCCACCGAATAACACTTACTTTGTTGTTTTAACAGCAATTGACATTGCTTTTTCATGCCAACTCATGCCACAGATCAGTAGGGCAGGTGCTTCAGATGAAAATCATCAAAATAGTCATCAATTAACACTTAAACTCCCCTTTGTTCAACATTGAAGCCATCTGTAATGTAAAACCACTAATGAAACAGCTGCTGTGACACCTGAACTGTAAGTCATATGGCATTTATGGGACAGACCCTGAAGTGAAAGGGTACAGGCATGCAGGCGTCTCTGAATTACTAAGCCCCTGAGCAGGATGTTCTAGGCAGAGATATGAAGAGTTGAACTCCTTTTTAGTCTGAACCACTTCTGCATACTTGTAAAAGCAAATGTTTCCTGCTTTAAAAATATTCGGTGGTCAAGATAAGTAGGAGGAACACTAAGTCACGGAGAGGAAAACAACAAAAGACGAGTGGTAGCCTTGTACAGATCCCACTGCACTGTCTACCAGTTGGTCATCCTTCCTCAAAGAAAGCTTTAAACATACACAAAGACAGGACAGTGAAGAAATCAACACACCAGTTATGTCACACGGTGTTTTTCATTAAATCAGTGATTGGCGCTGCAAGGACACGAACATTTTCACTGACAGTAAAACGTGAGGAATGAACACATCAACCGAGTGTTCACTCATTTTAGTTACTTGCCTTTGGTTTGACTGCTCATTGCTGTGCCATTCATTTAGCTACATTATCAACGTGAAATACTGCCAAACTATCGTTGAAGTGCCAGGCTACGCGTTTAACCTATACGTTTGGGCTACGTGAAGGAAAATTGCAACTCAAGCTAAAGTCACTCCAAATTAGCAATGGTGACTGAAGGAGCCAGGTGAAGATGCGAGGTAACCTTTACATATCAAAAAGTTAAACGCCAGTCCCTGCACAGCGTCAACCTAAATACAATCTTAGACCCAAAATGTAAAGATTTTAAATGGAGTCAAACTTAGCGGCCAGCATGAACGTTTTCAGCTTCTGTTTCAGCGACACAGAAATAAACCTGTTCTATCCACCGCTGATATCTGCCTCACTGTCTCCGTTTAAAAGCTTTCATATCAGCACACTTTCTATTTCACACACAAAAAAAGTTTTTTTGTCTTACCTGGTCGAGTAACATTAAGTCCCGTACAAAAATCTTGATGAATATAAACCTGTAGATGTGCAGGCAGCCTTGGAGCGCGTGCTGTACGTAGCTCCCGTGCTCCTCTCCTCACCAACTGTCAGTCCGCGCGCCGTTCCGACGGAGGAAGCCCCTCCTCCATCATCTCTGTCAAACACACGCTCGCGCGCCTGACTTAATATCTCTGTATTTTTGATATAGAAACGCCTTTAGACGTTAAAACGACAGCTTTAAAGTTTGTGACCGTATCAGACACAAAGGAGAAAGGACATATGCCAAAAACACAGGAACATGTCTCAACACGAGGGTAAATTGAACGGTTTTATTGCATGAATTGTAGCTGCAGAGAAACAATGTTTCAGATGAATACAGTTGGGTTTGAAGCCTTCCTGCAGTGAGATGAGTGGACATTCAAATGGCACGGCTAACTTCATTCACTTTTCTCCTAGTCAGTCTGCCACGAGACCAGCGCTTATATACTGCATCTAAACCCCAGCTGTAGCAGTGAGAAATGAACAGGGGGGGAAATACTCACCTTTACAACACCGAATAAAGTAGGCTCTGTGTTCAAGCATTGACTAATCAAATGTGCTTCACTGTTTAAACACGGGGGATTTAACTTGCTCAGCTGTGAGCATGACATCCTGTAGCTGCAACAGAGTAAAGATATATAATATGGAGTGGTTGTTATTGCTGGCTCCTGTTATAGTTTGACTGTGTGCAATTTTGTCACATTTCAGAGTGAGAATAAAGAGGAATTGTTGTGTGCTTTGTTAAGTAAATCCCTACAGTAACAATTATGTCGAGGAGTTTTTTGTGCAGCTGCTCATTATGTTGAAATATCAGTGAATCACTGAAAAACAGAAATTTCAACCATCCAAATGCAGTATACAAGCCCAAACTCTGTGGACCGGTGACTTGGAGCAATGACTCCATCTACAGGTGAAGTAGATGTACTGCATTGAGAGAGAGAGAGAGAGAGAGAGAGAGAGAGAGAGAGAGAGTGGGTGGGGGCGTCAAGTGTGTGTTGTTCAGATAGATTTACAAAATAAAATAAAAATCAGCTCCCTTTTTAAGTAGACCAGCCACATAATAAAACAAAAATCTCACTGAGAACTTGTAAAATGGTCTTACATTTTTCAAAGTAACTTGGTCACTCAACTGTCACTGAAAAAAAAAAACAACCAAAAAAATATTGAAGGTGGCATAACTGTACTAGAATATATCTCTTCCCACCACACCTCCCACTCATTTTTCAAATATAGGACTCAAAGACATGGGCTATAATGTTAATTATACATTTATCCATACTATATTCATATAATTAATAAAAATAAATACATTTGACAAATACAAATGATTCTGTAGTGGGTAAGTTACCAAAAGGGACAGTTTATCACCCACAGTTTAAATTGTTAACACATTTCTTTCAAGTGTAGGATTTATCAGTAAAAACCATTATCACTCCTCCTTATTGTTTTAAACTTGTAGTCTTTAAAGCGTCTACACACTGTGGCTGTGCTATTGGGCTCCATCCAGACATCTATAGGGCTGTATGTGAGCACTGGCTCACTAAAGGCTAACTGTTAACACTGTAGCACACTCACAGAGAGCAACCAGGAGGAAAAGAAGATGCTGATGATTTATGTTGGCAATGGGACCCAAACCAGCTCTTGGCTTTGGCCAAAAAAGCTGCGGGCACAACATGTGCATGTTGTAAAAAGGTATTATTAAACATTTTCTTCTTACATGTATTTTTTAAACCATTTTTTGCTTATGTGTTTTGTACAAATCTTTGTATAATCTGTTGAGACATAACAAACAGACCAACAGAAAAATCAACCGACAAAAAAATCTCATGCATAACGTATGTCCCACTGTTACTGATTGCATTTGTAAGTTATCATCTTAAAAAAATCTGTGTAGATATTTGTCTGTTGTTCAACATAACATTTTTGTTTTTGTACATTTTAAGCCATTTCTTCTTTTTTTTTTAGAACATTTTTGTCCCTTTTTTCCAGCCAGCAGTTCCAGGTATTGCTCCAGAGAAGTTTCCAGACCCCAACCTGTCTATTCCTGTACAGCAGGAGGCGCAAAAGCCATGTTGTGTAGGTGCTGGCTGTGGGAAGGAAGAACCGCTCCATCAGATGAGGCTCTTGGGAAGCAAATGTGCCTTTTTCTTTTGTGTTTTCAGTTTAAATCCAAGAAATTCAACCTCATTTCTTACGACAATTCTTTTTTTTGTCATTTTTTTCTGCAAAAACTGTTGCTTGTCACCCTGAAAAGCTTGGCAGAGAGACAGAGGCTGCAGATTTTTTGTTTGAATACTTCCATCAACCTCCTGAGGCTGGAGTCTGGCAGCAAAAAGTGGGATAGGACAGCAAGTCAGTTGCAGACAAGGACGGGGAGAAAGGGAGAGAGGGGCGCAGGCGAGGTAACCCCTATCTGCAAAGGTCATCTTGTGTGCAGTCCCGCACATTTTTCCTCTTCTTGCTGTTGCCCTGGTGGTGTGGCTTGTTGCTCTGATGACTTTTGGTGCTGGAGGAGGAGTTCTGCTGCCCATGGTGGCCACTCTTTTGATGAGAACGAGGCGTCCTGGTCTGTAGAGTTAATCACAGAAAATTAAGCCGTGTACCTGCAGAAATTATTTCTTAAAGCTTGTATGTTTGTTGTTACTACAGGTTCAGGGAAAAAAATCTAGAGTTTACAACCTATGCACATTCCCAGGCTGAGTTCATCTGAATGTTTCTTAAAATCATGACACATACTGTGTTGATTACATCAACCTGAACATACCTTTCCTCCCTTATTGTTTCCAGAAGGAGTGCTGGTTTTGTGGCTCTGTGTTCGGTGATTGTTGACAGTAGCAGACTTTTCTCTGTGGGTGCTGGAGCCCCGGCTGGGTTGCTGCTTAGCTGTCTTACACGGCGTGCCATCAGAGTCCTGGGGAAAGCCAATAAACCGGATGAGTAGTTGTTATGACTAAAACGGTTTGTCACAAAGGCGGTTTACACATGATGCCATATGTGTAGTCCTGTGTGTGTGCGTGTGTAGATGCAACCCTCACCGCATCACTGGAGCTGGAAGTAGAGGATGTGGAGGAAGGCGACAGTGGGGAAGAGGAGGGAGAGGAGCGCAGTGAAGGTGATGGGGAGGAGGAGTTGGAAGAGGTTTTGCTGTTGGGAGCTGACGGCAGAACAACAACATCGTCATCGTCGTCTTCATCATCATCTGGGACATTGTTGTTACACTCATCAAGCTGCTGAGACTCAAACAGCGTGACATCATTTCCTAAAGACAGACAGACAGAGGGGACACAGTTTGCTCAGTCCAGAGGTAAGCTCATTTTGTCCTGGTACAGGAGATTCAGCAAACTGTAGGTCAGATTCAACCAATTAGGAAATGTACAGCTTCATATTTCCTTTTAACATTCAGTTGCAAAGGGACTGAAAAATACTTTATTTGACACAGAGTTTACGTGGACATACTGTTGAGTGGCAGGTCATTCTGGGACGGGCTCCCCCAATTCTTTCGGATCCATTCTCTGTACTGATCCACCTCCTGCGTTACCCGGATTATTCGGCCAAGTATACTGCAATGGAAAAAACAGAGGAGACAGATTTGTTATATTAGCAGTCTTAATGGTGCATAAGTAAATATTATCTTATGATTAAAGAAAATAACCAAGACTGGATGAACCCAATCTGAATGGCTTTAAACGTATGTGATAAATCAACTACTGATAATATACAGATACATGATACTCATAAGCAATCAGACAGTGGCATTACCTCTCTGTCTCGTTATTGGGGTAGTACTTGGCGATGGGTGACACAGCATGGCTAAGCACCACATAGGCATAGTCAAAGGCCTGCTTCACCTGCATGGCACCGTATGAACTCCGACCAACATCATTGTCTGTTGGACACAAAGTTAACATGAGGCCCTGGCAGGGTGCAATCAGATGCCATAGAAACAGTAAACTGTTAGGACAAACACACTCATACCCCACTCGCATTTGTGTCCCTACCTGGCTGCAGAGGGTCCTCGATGTAGAGCATGGAGGGCCTGTAGCCATCCATCATGTTCTTCTGAACCTCATCTTTGGCAACATAACAACCGCCATCCTTTATCCTGATACCTGTTTTCAGGTAGTTGAAGTGGCGACCGTAGAGCTCAAAGAATTCAATGAGGAGAACCCCAATGTTGATATTGGGACTGCAAACATCCTCCCTGTAGTGAAGCTGGAAAAAAACACAGTACAAGTGACTGTCAGAGGTTTTACATTATACTTTAATTGGCTGGGACAGTACAGTATATTCCTACTAAAAACAACTAAGCTGTATATATATATATATATATATATATATATATTTATATATATGCAAAATTACATAATAATAGAGGAAGTAATTCCAGAGTATTGCCAATAACTGTTATAATAATGTTTTCTGAGGTCACAGGTACAACATAGGTACATACAACTTAATAACAAAATGCTTTCGCCACAGCTATTGCTGAGAGAAAGGTTGAAAAAGAAATATATGAGATGTGTTATGTTCGGGTGTGTTCATAAACATTAAGAGCCCTCTGTCTGTGATCACATGTATCTCACCTGCAGGAAGCTGACAGCCATGAGAAAGAGACTGTAAGAGCCAATCCCACCAGTAAAAACCTCATTGAGGTCTCTTTGCAGCAGGAACTGCTTTAGCACCAAGACCAGATAAGGCAGTACAGGATATTTCTACAGAACAAAAAACAAAACACACTAAGTGAGGAAGAGGTGGAGAATAGTTTTGGATGCCTACAGCTCCCTCTAGAGGTGACAGAATTTAAACATTCAGGAAATCAGATGTTATCCTACTGATCATCACCACATCCAAGTTACACCCAAAAGATTCACAGGTCTTAAATAAAATATTTACATGTTCTCGTCTTTGTCCTGCAATTTGTGTTTCAGTTGGTTACAAATTTACAACTCTTAATACACAACGAAAAGACATTTGTTTAACTTCCTGATACTAAAAGATTGATAAGATGGTCATTGACTTTCATGTTCCCCTGAGAAAATCACCTACTGTAAAAAGAGAACAGTATGAAATTTTTCCTTAATAGTGTAATATTCATATTCCAATAATCCTGACTTCTTTGAAAAAGAGAATTATCCTGGAAACTTTGAGTTGTGAAATGGCTGTCTTCCTTTACAAAATGTACCTCTTTGAATTCCTTGATGAGCCGTGCGGCTTTAACCCCGCTCTTCACATTAAAGCTGATGTCCACTTTGACCTCAGTATAGGAGTCTGTCAGTTTGATGATGGGAACCTAGAACACACAGGATGAAATTAGGAACAAAATACTGATCCACAGCAGTCAAACAGGACATGGATATCACATTTTAATGCCCCCCTATTACTGTGCCACAAGTCCTTTGCAGGTAAAACTGCACCAAATGTTTTTAAAGTCTGCTATGAGCCTGGAAACAAAGTTGCAATCACACACAAACCCAACTTTAGCCATCTCATCTTTAACTAAACCAAGCACAACAACTGAAGGTGAAAACCTGCCCTTCAAAATCCAATACAAAGATGCTATACCCAAAGGAAAACCTTCTCTCATTCATATGCTGTACTTCCTAACATTATTTATAGCAGAAAGAGGATTCACAGTATGTACGATTAGAAAATTACTCTGCAGAAAACTGCTATAAAACTAACAATAATTGGATGTGGAGACATAGTCCCTCTTGTGAGTGAGTCTTACTGTGGCCTTGTCCAAAACTTTGATGGAGTTCTCATCTGCGACGTTCCTTTTCCGGAGAGCCTCTTCTAGCGTCCACAGTGGGAGAGTCTCCCACTTACCAAACACGACCAGGTCAATGTCACTGGTGGAGAAAAGTGACAACACAGATTATGCCAAGTCCATCTTGTACCATATAACAGTAACTCAATTAACTGTCATTGAAGCCACCAACATGATACAATTCAATAGAAAAAATAAGCTCCATTTTTAATATTTTATGCACTCAGGGCCTTTCTACTCCAGCCCTGCCATGCAAGATATGACAAGGATGGTGATTTATGTAGCTTTAAGAAACAAGCATCATGGGAAAAGAAAGTGAGAGAAGGGGCTGCCATTAGAGTCAGTTCACTGATTTTGTGAGTCTTCTTTCCTTGTTAGAGTAGCATTACATTTCAGCGTTTACTTGTGTTCTGTAATGCAAAACCACTCGAGCTCATTACAACAGCCTGTAAAATCAGGATACCGAGTCAGAGTTTTCTTCTGACTGGGTTGTCATCGTTGAAATTGTGGTTTACCAAACGTGATACCAGTTTAATGTAACCACAAAGAGGAGCTCTTGTAAAAACATTGACAGGATAATCTTATATATAGTTTTAAGGGAGCCCTTTATCAGCAATAGCCAACATGTGTATGCATGTTCACTGCACACAGAAACTGCTTTCAGGCAACCACCAAGAACAAAAAACACATCAACGCAGCTTTACATACACAGTGAACATGATCAGTGTATATGATTGTAATTTAAATACCATTAAAAAGACTTTTTGTGTCCTGATTGGAGAGGTGTATAATTACACATAGACAGATACATAATAATAAACACACACTTATGTTCATCCACAAACAGCTTCGGCCATTTAAAGTGCTCGGTGCTGTGTCATGAGTTCACAAATCAAAGTGGATTGGCTGGATGTCTGTCTCAGTGCTCTCTCAGAATAAAGCGTTAAACAAGATCCAGGATCAGCCATGCTAAAAACAATTCACCAGCTTGGCAGGGAACTTTCTTCTTAACATAGTTCAGTGTCTTTGGTCATGGGCCAGTTCACAGTCACATTTGGGCAAAGACAAATAGAGAATGTGTGTGTGTGTTCCTATCTTCAGGTTGGTAAAAAACGGACTTGCTTACCTTGTTGGAAGATAAAGGCCAGTGCTGAAACTCCCAAACACTTGGACCTGGGGAGATGAGACACTAGGTTACTTAACTCAGTTAATTACACCAAAGTTTGCACATTATCTTCATATTTTAAAGTTTATTTCCAGCATGTTGTTTTGTTCATTTTGATTGACTGCAACTGGATTGAGAAGATTGTGAAACCAGTTAGCCATCATGAATCATTCACTGATCTTCCCACACTGAATTCAATAACACAAAAACCTGCTCTGGCACCTGATCAAATATTATTATACTACTGCCCAACTCAGACTTGTTGTAATGACAAACCTTAACAAATCAAACAGGTGTGGTACATCAACAGCCTTTCACAGGTAAAATGACACTAGAACAAGTATTTTTAAACACTTGAGTCGCAGTTCAGGTGAAGAATTTACGACTAAATGAAGCTATCAAATTCATTCTGGTTCCCACTCGTGAAAATCAAAACTGGCAGATGTCAAAACAGTCCTTTCAGGCACTGATCTCTTAACTTTCATTTTATTTGAGACATTGAAAAATCTTCAACATCCGCAGCACAAATAGGTGTCCAAACAGAAATAGATTTAAGCCTTGACCTTTGCTTTACTCCCTTGTCCCGACATCCTACTAACCAATAACATCAACTCAGGTTTACAGCCTGGTCACATGTGCAGGTTAAGCTGATTGCAGAGCTGTGTTTGTGAACGGAGCATAGCAAGTCCCAAAGGCTCTTGCGGAGGATGAGATGACTATGGGTGGTCACGTAGGCAAGCTTTGATATCTTGATTTGGCCCTTCTCCAGTCAAGCTTTTGAAATCTCAACAACAACAGACAAGCTTTCACAAACACTGTTGGTACAGTTGACCCATAAAAGCTTCCATATACTCAATTTTCTATGCATGTAAGCTCATAAATTAAAAATGCATCCCTTTGAGTGAATGACCAAGTTACCCTCACTCACACCCACATTGGAAAAGAAGTAATTCTCAGGAGGATTGGGACAGTATTATGCTTCTTATTTGGGAACAGCTAAGCTCAGTGCAGACATGCTTTGAAACACACTGCCCTGTCAGCTAAATCTCAGTCAGCAGGATCAAGAAGGCCTAAGGTGGCGGTGATAACATGTCCCAAACAGAGTGTTGTGCAGTGTGGAGATAACAAAAAAACAAGAGTGGAACTGAGAGCCATTACCTCCGTATCACTTTCAGCCTAGTTCAGGTACAAAGTTGGGTAATTGGTGGTGCGAGTAAAAGGGGGCCTTACTGTTCAGAAACTGTTTTTATTAGTGGCCACCTGTTTTCCACAAATTAGCTTAGAAATAACCATTGTCTTTTAAATTAACAGCTGGGAGCAATTCTTCCTTTTTTTATTTTTATATCCAGTCTGCTATCCAGCCAAAACTTAAACACACATTGAACAGAAAAGATTTTACAGTTTTGGGATTGGGGGTGATGTGTACCTCAGCACTGGGCCACAGGTCATGGATGACTCCCTTTATTCTATCCACCACCTCCAGTCTCATCTTCTCTTCCTCAGGCCGGGGGGAGATGTACTCGTAGAAGTCGTTGACCTCCTCATGCAACCTGCGAAGCACAGACACACAGCAATGCATTACAATCCAGGGAGTATCCATTTTTGGGGAATCGTCTAGGCATTTGGAAAACAAGCAGCATCCAACAACATTGCAGATTGGAGTCAGTGATGAAGTTATTTATGAATATGGAGTTCAGTTGTATCCCATGCCATGTACTCATGAGGCAGAGTCAAGGGGAAGAGGACAGTGAACACAACCAAGGTTGCTCTCGTTCTTTGGCCAATCTTAATATTCTTCTTACGGCAAAAAAGACATTATATCAAATGAAAAGGGGACCAGGTGCCAACAGTTGCAGATGTCGCATAATGACACAGCACTGCTAATAGTTCAGCCATTATCACTTGAAAGCCCATTTTCTGCATGTAATTGTAAGCCTTGGAAGACCAGCCATTAATAAAAAAATTTCAGTCTGTAAACCCAACAATTTAAGCTCTCAAATTGTATATTTGCTTGGCTACAGTAGTGTGAGACATGTGGTACAGTTCTTGGCACTTTTTGTAAAAACCAGACTATATATTATTACATTAGAATAATTAGATTATATAATAATAATGCAACAGCAAAAAGGGAAACTGTAAAAAATGTGAACAGTCCCTCAGCAAATCCAATGTTCTAAAAGAGAGTAGGTGTCTCCAGGAGATCTTTGACTCGTTGAATTGAAATCTCTCCCTCCTCGTAGAGTCAAGGGACGCGTCCTCTGTTCTGTCTGAACACTGCAAATACATAAGCTGCCGATCAACACTTAGGCAATCGTCACATTCTCAAGTTTTACAGGACAACTTTCAGAAATATAAAACTCATACAAGCCCAAAGTTATCTTGTAGTTCATTCACATAGTTCAGTTAGTATGAACTGACTCTTCCTGTTTAGATATAACAGTGAAGACTGACAATTAGAGAATAAAGACTAAGATCAAGAAAATACTGTTTTGTTTTAGATCCCTTGTTTTAGCAAGGTTTCATTTTCCAAAAGCAGCAGCGTTTTATTACAAAATCCCAGACTCTTTTTCTTCTTAAGCTAACACTAGGGCCAAGAAAAATCAAAACAGGAAATTCTACAATGTCCCACTGCGGTGGCAGTAAATAAAACTTAGGGTACCACATTTGTCCTTGGACCCGGTCACTGTGCCCACATGTGCTGACCTTCACTGACCAGTTTTGTCTACACACACACAAAGGCACAGGAAAGTCTCTGGGGGCGAACAAACAAGAACACAAACATACAGGCATTCGACAGTCTGCTCACGTTCACATTAGCACTGTCCATAAAATTACTTGTGCACTACCTTTGTCAGATAACAGAAAATCACAGTAAAGAGATATATTTCTGCTTAAGAAGAAAAACATAAAGTAGCTTCTAACTCTGTGACAATTGGTTGGATTTTATCCCCTGACGCACATGTCCACTTTAAGATTTTATCAAAGTCTTAACAACAACAGTCAAAGCAGACAGGGTTTCACCTTTATCACATCAGGAGCTTAGCACAGTCCAGCAGAATCTTAAGATACACACAGCACTGAGGGGTTGCTGCTCCACTGACCATGTAGTGATACACTGGCCAAAGAAACCAAGTTCTCCCTGGACAATACTATCAAAGAGCACAGTCTGAGACCTGCAATTGTGTGTTATTTGCCAAGCAGGTAGAGTGAGACAAAGTCTGAACCCTTTTGTGAACTCTTAATTTAGTGTTTGTCAAAGGGGAAAAACCCTCTGTCTGCCTCCTCCAACAGGTTAAATCTCAATCTCCCCCTAGACACTGTAGAGACTTCGGCCCCCACAGAAGGGAGCTTGGGTTTCATATAAAGAGAAATGAAACTCAGCAGCTACATTCATGGTGATTTCATGGTAAAAAGAAAAACATGGCTAGTTTCAGCATCGTTGTTTAAGATAGAGATGCCTAAACCTATAGTAAAGTAATCATTTCAGTTCATGTAATGTGTTCACGTCTTTAAATACAAGGGTGATAAAAGATCTCTTCAAGCTCTTGGTCTTAAGTGTTTTACTCCACAGCAGAAACAGCACAGTTAGGTTTCATTTCACAGCAAACAGACCTTTACTGCTCCCTTTTTCATCATGTGATGAGAGCAAGCATAGAAATCTCTCCTAACGCTCCTCCTTCTTGGCTCAGGTTACATCTCAGCCCTGCCTGTGCCTGGGGAGCACACACACTCTTGGCACTGCTTATCTGATAATCCCTCTTGCATATATCATTGTAATGTTATGTAATCTCATGGAACAGGTTTCCAGAGAGCCATGGCTCTTCAACAGATCTAATAAAATATTCTCTGTCCCTCTTAGCTCTTCTTCTCTTATTTCTTTCAAGCATAATATATCTGGTGTCACTGAAATCTAGCCAGCCATGTTTAAAGATAGTTGCCTGTAATGTTAGAGAGCAACCAGCCCAAACAATCCATGTCCAAAATCTAAGTGATGGATAGCCGGGATAACAGCACTGTTATGGTTGATAAAGCACTCTAAGCCATGTAGATAGTAAGCCAAATGAAAAACATCAACGGTCTTTTAATAGGTCTTAAAGTCTCAATAGTCCAGTCTCAATATAAACCTCCTGAGAGCTTTAGTCTAATTCTATTTTACCATTTACAAATTGTTTGGACAATAAAATATATCAAAGCTATGAAATATTCCAATCAAATTTTAAAGGGCCTGAAGTGATGCACTTAATGTACTTGTTGTTATGACAGACAACCCAAACACTTTATTTAAAAGCAGCAAACCCGCACATTTACAAGACCAAAAAATAAAACATCACATCTTTGCTAAGAGTCTGAAATATAAGACCTGTGTTGATTCTTGTCAGACATTTGATCAATTCTGTTTGTTTTTGGTGTTAGTGCAGATTTTCTCTCATTGCACTTCAACTTCTGCATCATAGTGTTGTGCACTTTACAAGCCAAAATGCAAAAAGCTGGTATTCCTTGTTATTCAAAGAAGTTCCATGCCAAAAAAGTCTCTGTTTTCCCTCCTGTCCTCAGTTTTACATTAGAATCTAGATTAGGATCCACTTTATATCTTGAAATTTACATTGGAGGAGCAAAGGTAGGATAAGTGCATCTATATTGCAATCTCCAGGTAAGTTATTATGCATACCTCCTTGTTCTTGAATTTCGAATTGTTGCTTTAAAATGCACTCGAGCAGGACCCTTGGCATTCCTGCAGAGCACACTGCAACACCTTGTCAGAGAGGTATTACTCAGCCTCCTCACATTGGAACAGAGGAGAACAGGAGAAAGTAAGAGACCGAAAAAATGGAAAAGGTAGAAGGAGAGGGAAGAATGAGGGTAAGGTGTAAAAAAGGTCCAAAATTTGGAATGGTAAAGGCAGGACTGGCAGAGAAGGAAGAATGAAAGACTATGTATGTATGTGTGTGTGTGTGTGTGTGTGTGTGTGAAAGAGAGAGAACAAGAGAGACAGAGAGAATAAGTGCAAAAGTGTGTGTGTGTGTGAGAGAGAAAGAGAGAGAGAGAGAGGAATGGGTGTGGTGCTAAAATGCCTTCATGTGAACGAGGGCCATCTGTTAGGTTGGGTCGGATGAAGGAGAAAGAGGTTATTGTTGCATCTCGCTGGGCATTTCTTACTGACGGTTCAATATTCCAGCTCAACAGGAAAAAAGGTGTCAGTCACAGTTCCTGCAGGGAAGCTACGAAGTTAAAACTAAAAAGAGCAAGAATTGAGACAATTGATGTTTGAAAAAGCACCTGTCTGACACATGTCGTCTGATGAGTAACCAGATGGATGGATAAAGCAAATGCAACCAATGTCCCAGGAACAGACCCGTCATCATGATCCTATGTTTGAATGCCTTTTATTTTGGGCCGTAGCAACATTAGAGGGTGGTGTGTTATGTGACACTAATCGATCTAGGTTGATAGAGGGGCACAAAAGTGACCACACAAACCGCTCTTCAAACAGGAGCAGAGGTGTCTGTGTCTCACAGATGGCAGATTCATTAATGTTTCATCAATGAGCTGATCCGGGGTGCAAAGTGTCGGCTACTGGGACAAAACAGCTCCAGTTACAGAGGAGCCCAAACATTACTGGCTGCTGCTGATAGGATGGTCATGGTTGAATGATGCAGCAGAGAATTGTGGTCAAAGCAGGGAAACACCTGAGACAGTAAACAGTATACTACTGTCAGGAAACTTGTTTTGTCTTGTTGTAGCTCTGTAGTGGCTACTGTGGTAAAGTATCTGACAGGTTTGTAGACACGTTTGTAAGTGATAGTCCTAAGCTGACGCAAACGTACTCATGTGTGAGTTGAGAAAGGCACATAGATAGTTAAAACAATATCATACATTTTGCACATCTCTATCTGAATGTAGGTTGCCCTTTCTGTAACTCAAACCCACTTCTAAATTTCTATCAGTTATTGCTAAAGAACTTGTGCTCTTTACAGCATTTAGCTACAAAGGTGGTAGTTTAGGCTTAGAGCATATTTCAACACAAATCAACTGGCTGAAGGTGTCATGAACAGTGGAGACACTCAGCATGTTCTCCTTCTCTCCGATCATCTACAGATTAAAGGCGCCGCTAACATTTGTATCCAAGGGTCTGCACACTACTTTACTGGTCATAAATAGAAATTGTAAATGGGTCAAAAAGGGACAAAAATGGGTAAATGGTCAAGTTTTATACTCGCGCATTCCACCTATTTATTGTCTATGTGTGAGAAAGTGAAATTTGTACTTTTCTGTTAGTAAGTGCGAGAAAAGGAAATCCAGCACACACTGTCCGAACTGTAAAGAGCATAAAAAATCTACTTTTAGGGATCAAAATAAACGTTTAGACAAATGGGTAGCCATGTTTACAGTTACTTACTGGTTAGATTGTTACCTACACTTAAGAGTGATTTATAAGTCAGTCAATAGCTATGGTTGATTGATGGCATTTTGAAAGAATTGCCATTAGTCAATGCCTGCGTTCACAAGGCCAGTTTAAAAATGAAAAATATTAACAGATGTCTAGAGCAAAAATACACAAGTCCAACGTGGTAATGTTTCACAAAGCCAACAGGAAGTAAGGCTTATTAAAATGAAATGTTCATTCAAGTGCAGTGATTCGTTTTTATTTCTTTTTTTAATCAAATTTAGAACAAAACAAGAAGTCTTCATTATTCATCAGCCACCAGCCTACCTGCTCTGTGGTTATCTGTATCTAGCAGGGAAAATCAATATCAGTCTGCCGGATTATACCTCTTGCTATTCATTTTAGATAACACCCTGAACTAGTTTTAGAAAACGGCACATTTCAAGCTTTCTTCTGTGACGTGAAATAAGTTTTAAATTTGGTCTGATATAATAATGACTTTAAATGATCACAAAAATATTTGAAAAAGCAAAAACATGAGAAAAGTGACAAAGCACTGTCATATTGTACACGTGCCGACAAGGTCACAGTCTGGACACACATTCTGAAAAAAAAAAAAAAAACTGTTGTGTGCCGCTCTCTGACTCCATCGGTCTAACAGCATGAGAAGGGCTCCCATTGGACAGAAGGAGGAGAAAAAAGAAAAACGCATTCCTCACTACACATGGTAATGCTGAGTTATAGTGAGCTGCCCACACGTGCTGTTCAGAGGGGGCCTGTTTCACCTACAGTCCAAACGAACAACATGAAGGCTTCTCTCTCCACATGCTTACATGCTTTGGCTGAGAGCCAGCAGGCAGGCAGTCAGGGAGAGAAAGAGAGGAAGAGAGCAAGGCAGAGAGAGGAGGAATGAAAGGGCGGAAAGAGAGGGGAAGGAATAGAGAGAGAAGGAGAAAGAGTAACGGACAGGGAGATGAGAAGAGAACAAGAGAAGGGGGGGGCAGAAAGAGAGAGAGAGAGAGGGAGAGAGTGTGACATAGATGTAACAGGCAGAATGAACCATATTTACAATAACGGAGCCTTAGTCACAAAAGTGTAATCTGTGCACTAATACTGGAAGCCATAAATCTCACAAAGGCAGTAACAAAAAAATGGCAATAGAAACATGAGCCAAAGCCACTCATCAGTTAGCGATTAACTACACATTTCATTAGCTCGCGAGCGACGTTCTGCTTCACCACTCCAGACTATCTGTCAACACCAGGCTCCACCAGAATCTAACAAATGTAGGCTATTCTGCTACTTTACAGTTTGGGGCCAAAAGGAGCATTTCTCTTCACACAGGAGACATTCAACACATATGAGGATGTCACATGTGTTGAATGGCGAGCAACATTTTATGTTAAGGAGGCCACTGCACAACAGCTAACCTCTGAGTAAGTACTCAGACACTAAAAACTTAAACGTTTATGAACCCTGAGGGTGAACGGCAAACCTGTCAAACAGCTATATCCAAGATGGTTTGCCTCAAGCTGCCACACCAATTAACTTCTATAAGCAGAAAAGTGTCACTCTAACGTGACACTAATCCAGATTGTTAAACCTTGTAATCTATCCTGATAATAACGGTTGTTATTCTGACACAGAGTGAAATCCAAAATAACCACAAGGCAATCGTTTACAAAAGTGAGTCTGTTAAGACCAGGTGTTGGAACTACAGTTATTTATACAAGAAAATGAATGGATTAACTTCTTATTTTTGTTTAAACAGACGTCAGGGATAGGAAAGAAGGGGAAAACAGCCAGCCAATCTGAAAGACTCTGAATAGCAGTAAAGACAAAGCAGACACAGTTGCACAGAGAAATTAACCGAAATGCAAGTTAACATCAGTGACAAAAATGGCAAAGTTACAAAGTTTGGTGTCCATACCAGTTGTATGCAGAGTTTCAAATCACAAAGTAAATGTATGTTGTTAAAATCTTAGAAAGCACATGAAAACTGCTTAAAATGGGAGCAGCTTGAACAAAGCGTTTCAGATGAAGGCTGAAATCATGATATTTTCAAACACCATTGTGAGAAATTTTAGGCTCTTTTTTCTGAAAATCATGTAAAGCTATGAAAGAGGTATCATAGAGAAATTATTAAGTCTGAATCCCACAAACACCCTTTTAAGTAGTGTGTAGGGGGGAAGTGTTGAAAACATTTAGAATTTTCTCATATGACCACTCTGCAACAAACAGAGCTTCTTTCTCCATGTTCTCAATAATCATGCAGGTATCAGTTGCTTTTAACTTGAAACCTTGTTTCACAGCCTGATGGGGTCTGTAGCCATCACGCATGCATTCACTAGACCAACAGTTCATTGTATGTAGGGCTGGGTGATAAAACGATAATAATATATATCAAAAATTTATTTCCCTCGATATCTATATGAAACATGGTCAATATGCTTTATGACAGTCGGCATTCTGCCATGTTTTGGTAGACTATACGAATAGCCAATGAGAAGAGGAGTTGCTCCGGGTCCATACAGCACTGAACCAATCGTGCTGAATTAGAACCAAGTCACAAACAACTGTGCAGTAGCAGGTTGCAACTACAAGCAACCTTAGCACTTAAATACATGGAGCTAACAGCACTGTCAGTGAGAAAAAAAGAAAATAAGTGCTACCCCTGGCAGAAATGTAGATGAAGGCTCAACAGATGAAAACATACGACAACACTGGCACGAAAACGTTGGTGGTGTGGAGGAATTTTGTTTTTTTGAAGTCGGACATGAAGCAGAGTAAAGTGCATGAAGTTCATGTTATTGCAAAGTCAGGGAATACCTCAGTAGCTTATCGTATTGTAAAAGACATGCTACCAATACACACTGTTAAATTTCATTTAGTATATCGTGCTATATATCAATATTGACTGATATAAAAACATATATATATTTTGTTAAACTTATTCTTTTATCACCCAGCCTTATATACAATGAAAGCAACTAAGGGTGTGATACCCTGTTGGGCTGAATTATGATTTGCTGGACCTTAAACTGCATAGTTACGGTCATAAACAGCTGAGGAGAAGCTGTAAAAATATTCTGTAGGCCCAACTAAAAATGTATCCTATCTGAACCACATCAGCTGTATGATCCATTACACCGCAAGATTTATTATTGGTGACTCAAGCAACAACTAACCACTTTTAGCAGTATCTAAGTGAATTCAACTCAGAAATGCCTGAACAACACAAAAAAGGTTTGAATATAAGTGTTGAAATGGTCATTTTAAAAATACCACTGCTCAAAAATCAGACCTTTCTGGTGATTCATCTTTCACCCAGTATTTGTTCCCTCAATGCTTCTGTGTTGTACAGTAAAGGGAACTTGAGTTTTGCCTACTCAATGAAACTTAAAACACAACACAGACAGAACCACAATCATTTAATTGAAAATGGGTTACACTCACAGCTCCCTGAGGTTACACCAGCTTAAGAATCTGAATAAGAACTGCAAACCACTAGAGCCAAGGTGGAACACTCCCTTACAACCTGCAATCTGATTGGCCAGACACTGAGGGGGCTCGGGTATCCCTGTCAGAGGATTGGTTTTGTTTTGTGGAAGTGTGGCCGTGTGAAGCATGTAAACACTGATCCTTTTCCATCATGAGGCACGCTGCCTGCCTGGACCTTCTCTGTTCCAGAAAAACAGGAGTAACCTAAAACACACATAAGCACATGCTTCTGTCTCTCTGGCAAAGCCCAGCAGCCAAATATAGTGTCAAGACTTTCCTGTTGAATGATGCACTCAAGATTTCCCCTTCCATCACATTTCGTGCTACCTGCCAGTCAAAAAAGTACCAATGACAAATTAACCTAAATACTTTCTGACATGCCCTCAGTCATGACTCATGATGACATACATTCTGACCACCTGTGTAATCCGACACAACCGAAAACATCACTAACATGAATTCAGCTTTTCATTGAGGGACAAAAAGTAGACCAAGAACTGCTGTTTGTTGCCTTGTTGACTCATGGATTCTTCACTTCAAAGTTCAAGAGATTATACAGAACCACATTGTAAATTACTCTGACACTTCAACGATTGAAAGTCAGCAACTTTTTTAAACAAAGATTGTGCTCCTAAGGATCTACTGCTTCATTCATGCATATCTATAGTAACCCACTTTTGTCTGTTTTGGTGGTTCATATATAGTGAGAAGCAATTTGTGTTGAGCTCCAGTTTCACCTGTGATTTAACTGAACAAAATCTTCAAAAGTCTGTAATGCATGAAGAGTTAAAAAAGTACAGGCTAGCTCACGAGGTATCTAATCTGCTGAGCAAACCTCCGACAGAAGAGTTGCAAGCAATGTTTTCTTCTAATCCAAGATTTACATCCACTAAAACCAACAGCAGAATGTGCATCTTCAGTGCAAATAAAGAAGCATTTCAAGAGGAGATTTAACTGCGGCTATAACTCTACTTAACAATGACACCCTTTACATCCCCATTCATGGTTCAAGTCTATACTTGAGCATTTCGAAATACATGTTCTGTAATTCCACAGAGCACACTGGCATTGTGAATGAACAGAGTGTAGTGAGACAGAGAGTTCTCAGTGGCTGTGAGTGTGATCAACGCTGTGAGGTTCAGGTTCTGGTATTAGCAGAGCTAATCACTTAAGAATGTCCTTATGCAAACACACAAGCTTCCTCATAACTACAAACGAGGATCAACCAAACACTGAGCTCCACTCTCTGCTGTTCTGCTTGTCTACACATGTCCAACAGAAAGGGTGGGGATAGGGGCAAATCTCTGCAACTACAAGGTCTCTACAACAGGGCCCCACCCACTGTAATACTTTCTCTGCTGTAATAACTTTAAAAAACCTGACAGGAAAATGAGTACTGGGTGGAGTAATTAGGTAATATCTGTCTTGAGCATTTGTTTTGCCATGTGACAAAATACTACTGAGAGAGTCCTTATTATGAGAAAAGCTGTGAGCACAGTTGCACACACTTAACTGAATCAAATCTCCATGAATGAAGCAAACTGTCCATTTTTTTTTTAAATTTGGAGAATTAATAAAAATTAAAAACTCAATAAAATGAGTGGGAGAGTGAAACACTTCAAAAGAGAGCCGTGGCTTGATTATCTACCTCATCTGATTGGTATTGTCCTGTGTTTCAGGGCCACTACCTGTTGAATTTCAGTTAAAGACTAGTTCAAGGATTTTTTTTTTGTTTGTGTCCAAGCAACCCCTTAACATTGTTGATGTTTGCCATTCTTGCATTTTCACCCGGTGAATTCAGGGCTGACCATTGCTACTGTTCTTCCAAGTTGTTCGTCAAGTGAACCACAGACATTTCACCACAACTTTATGACCATGTCTTATGAGGAAAAGCACTACTGGAAGAACAAATACGTAAATGATAGTGCTGGGACGATATGCTTTTCTACCAATTCGATTTTTTGGATGCCGAAACAATTTCAATTGCGATTCTACGACATTGTCGATTTTCTCGACCTTTAGTCTGCATTCTAAACATGAGTGAAACAGTTGAATGATTATGATTGTCTACAAGCTATTTCAGGAATCATTTTCCCACACACATCACATATAAGTCAGTTTTTAAGATTTGTTCATAAATTTGAAAAATAAAAAATTGATTTTCGAAGAAAAAATTGGATTTTCGTTTTTTATGTGAATCGATTTTTTTCTCCCACCCCTGGTAGATAATGCATGAAAGTTGATGTAAGGCATTTGTGTTGCTTACTAGTTGACCAAAAGTTCTTCTGGTCGTCAACAGAACTCTTATCATCTAATCATTTCAACAGGAGACTAGAGGAGTTAGAAAAACAACATGGGAATCAGGCAATCATAAACAGGGAACCGTGTGCCAGAGGACAGAGACCCACTGCTATGAAAATGAGTCATTCATTCAGTTTGCAAAATGCATCTCTTGTGTTCGGTGGCAATATTGAAGAGGTAGTCGCTGGCTTGTTCCTGACAAAGACTCTGTTAACTTTACAGCATTTCCCCTTGTGATAATTGAGTTCTTTCATACAAGTTTTTATTTTGAGTTAAATTCCATAATATCTGAAGGTACAAGATTGTCTCATTCATCAGATGGATAATAACACTCTGATGTGTTATGTTACCCATTACCAGGAAAGGTAACAGTATTTAGACTCTTTAAAAAAGTCTGAGTATGAATACTATTCAACAAGCATGCTCCAATACGGAAATTCTTGCATAAAAAGTCCCTGCCAAAATAAAACTTCTGAAGAAGAAAGATCTAGAGCAAACTATGCATTTGAGCAGTTTTATTGGCAGGTTAGGGTTAGGGTGATCGACTCGTCAGGGCTCCCCCACAAACAAGCGGCTGCTGGAGGAGAGTAGGCGAGTTATGTTTAGTCTCTTTGCTAAAGAAATAAGGCAAGGCTAATAAGATGCTTGATGGCTAGTACTATGACTGGGACCCTGTATGTACTGTTAATGAAGTTAGGTGCTGATCTGAGCATTATTTGTGGCTACAGAGTGGCTTTTTTGTTGAGGTTTGCGCATGGAGAGGTGGACCACTGTGTATTGCTATTGTGCGGTTGTTACTAAAGTTGGTATAACTAGAGAATCAAGCAGTCAGCAACATTCAGCTCTCGAGGGGGTGTCTAAGTCAGTGTTATGGTGTGTATGACCATAACGTAATTTTACACAGGAATATCCCTTTAATTGAGATTTCGAGACTCCCAATGTCTCCTTTTTTTGGAAAACTTAAATCGCGTAATGCTCCAAATCAACCTTGAGTATTTACAGCAAGGAGTAGACCATGGGTCAGAAGTTCGTTTGAGTGTGCAATGTGTTTTTTAAGAAGCTGAATCTGCATTAGTGCATCACATTGAATAAGATTATCATATGTTTGTAGAGTTAATATTGCATAAGACTCATTTACTTGTATAATTACGGCTCATTAGAAAACCAGCTTTTTTCATCTGACAATGCAATCTTCACTTAAACTTTTTCTGGATTACTAATTAACAAGAAATCCTTCAATTTAACAGGAAATGCATTACTCTTTACCTAAAAGGAAAGTTTTTTCACTAAAAAGAAATGACCTGAAAAGCTGTCTGACCTATGCAGAAAAACACTGACAACCATGGCATCTTAATTATTGCAGAGGATACAATATTCCAATAAAACGCTAATTTACTAAATTGATACTCAAATAAACAGCATTCCAGCACAGCACGTAACAGTATGAAGTTGGATGATAGGGTGGGTGTGGATGAAAAGGTGGGTGGGGTGAGACTTACAACCTTGGTAGTCTTCCTGCATGTTTCTATGCTGAGTGTATATGTATGTGTTAAAAACAGTGAGTTTAAGAACTCCTGGTTAAGAGGCTTGCTCTGTGGGAGGTAAAAGTTTGTGCCAAAGTGATCAGCTTTATTGAACTCTTCCTTACCCTATAATCCCTTCAGAGTAGTTCCTGACTTTCCATGGCGTGCCCGTGTAACCCTCATATCCTCCTCCTGTGTTGAAGCCGCTACTGCTGTTCAAGAGGCAGGAATTGAATCCGAAAGTGCTAGCTTTGTTGTCTCTTTTCCTTTTGTTGGGGTGTCCGTCCGTCAGCCCCCTCCACAGCACAGCGACCCCGCTGCCCTGCTGCTGCTGCCCCCCTCCAACGACACCGCCCCTACCAGCGGCTCGGTTGTTATGGTTGCTATTGGTTTCCAGTGGTATAAAGTCCCCCTGTTCCGCTAACTCTCCGTCCCCCATCGAGGTCGACATCCCCTGAGTCCTGGCGTCCCCGCTGCCGGTGTTGGAGTCAAGTGCCCCGTTTCTGCTGGTGAGGACGGCTCCCACCGCCCCGTTGACTGTCGCTTTCAAGCTCGGCGTGCCCTGAGATCCGGAGGAGAAGCTGTTATTTACATGCAAGTACCCGAGTCCCTGTGTCGTCTCCCAAATCTGCATCCACAGGTTGTTAGCTGGTCCACGCTGTTCTGGTTGAAACCAGGCGATTCTCGGATCCATCAAACGGCACTGTAGGCAAAACGCCCCCCCCTCCCCACCAACGAGCACTGCTCAGCTCGTGTGCAGCTAGCCAGGTCGCTAGCTAGCTTTAGCTAGCCTGCTATAGCCTCGTTGTTGCTGCTGCTAGCTGAGGTACTCCGCTGCCCGTTACTTCCAGAACCTGGTAAAAACAACACGTTTACAAAGAGCGACGAAAACAATGTTACCAACCAAATTCATCCACGGGAGATAGAGTAAAGGTTAGTCTAATGTTAAAAATGGTTGCTCGAGCCAAAGTTGAGATAAAAGCCAGCTGAAACGTGCAGCAGCTGCTTGTCGAAGTGCCTCTCTGACCCTTTCCTCCTGATCGTGGGTCCGTCAATGGCGGAGTGTACGTTTGCTACCGCGCATGCGCGAAGTGAAAAGGGGCGTGTCGATAATTGTTACGCAACAGACAACTGTTTTTTAGTTACATAACAGCGTTTGATTTATCAGAGTTTCATCTGAGTGAAATGGACAAGGTAGAAGGTAAACAACACTCACCTGATAAATAATCAAACGTCCAGAGATACTTGAAGCACATTTATTTAAAGAGGCCATACTCAATATGGGTTTAATACCGACGACACTCCTACAGTGGCAATTTTCCAGAGCTGGCAAATAGGAAACCACGTATTATTAAAATGTAAAAGGAGTGTGGTAGAGGGAATTTAATGGCATCAAAAAAAGTTGGTTTTTTTTAGTCGGACATATAGCCTCAACAAAATAAAGATCTTATTTCTATCTATCTATCTTATCTCAGCTTTACTGTCTTTTTACCTTTTGTTATACTTGTACTCTTTTCTTAACTAACCTTTGAGGCCTTTTACTGTTTTATCTCTTGCTCATTTCTGTTGCTCTATTTTATCAATACTATTATTATCAGTATTACCTGTTATCATTTTATTATCATTGTTGATATTGCCTTTTACTATCCTGCATTTTTTCTTAATTATTTTGTTTTTATTTTGGTCCTCATGGTCTCATGTTATGTTGCATGGTTCTTGTATTGTCTGGGTTCCTTATGACATTAAATTGGCCTTCAATTCCATTTAAACTTGGCTTTTTGTTTTTAATCTGTCTTTTTCCATGTGCTCTATGTCTATATGTCATAGCACTTTGTAAATTTCTGCTTCTAAAAAATGCTATACAAATAAATAAAAGTTATTATTATTATCATCATTATTAGATTTTACTTGGGTTGAAAAGCTGAAATAAAGATTACATTCAAAGCAATTTGTTTGAGGCTTGAATTTGTTACATAAATATTTTATGCCCATCTCATTTTTTCCTCAATGTACTTAATGGTCAGCTGATCCTACCAGATTCTCTAGGACCTATTTCAGCTGTGTTATAGCTATGCAATCTAAAGGGTCATGTGGACTATCCTACTGTAGGAGCCAAGAGTTGTTTTGCTGTATATTGTTTCATAAATTTAATCTACGATTGAACTTGTCCTTAGCAACAACAAGGGACAGCCTTCAGGCTGCTCTGAAGGTTTAATAACCCAACAACCTGTCACCGAACAAAAAGAAGAATAATTGTGTCAATCTGTATCCACCCACTTCTTGCTCCAACATTGCACATGAAAACAGACACTTCAGAACTTTAAGGCAATTATTTATTAGAAAAAAAATCAGAAATCACTCAGCCTGATGATGTGTTCTCCCATAAATGAAGTTATCTTCTTTGAACATTGACATGCAATCTAGGTGATATTGCCTTGAATAGTTGTGGAACTCCGAGCCAAGTTCAAACATAATAACTGCTCAAAGTGTTAACTTGTCAAACATGATAAGTTTGGAATCATTGCTCAAAACTGACAGCTGGTGGTTCTGCCAGAACCACCAGCTGCAAAAACAAACTTGGAAATTGATTGATCTATGAACAAGGAACAAGGGATTAGTGTCGGTGACACCAACATGTTTTCAATCTGGAGGTGTCCCTCACGTGCTACCTCTGTTACTTACAAAAATGTTGTCTGTGTTGGCAGCCACAGCTCACAAGCACCAACAATGCCAGTTTTCTCACAGCATTCACATGAGAAATGCCTCAGAGTATGAAACTAGAAGGGCGATGGCGAGAGGCCAGAAAGGCAGAGGTAGGAAATGTGTGTTTTTCTCAAGGCTAAACGTCTGTTTTCAAAGATTTTAATTTTGTCAAAACCTTGGCAGTAAGACAACACCTTCCAAGATTAGTGAGTCACTGCGGTGACTTTGTAATTACATTTCTTTTGGGCAAGCAGAACAGTCTACTACTCAATAACCGTTAAAAGTTATTTTCTTTTAAGGTGTTCAATGTTGGGATGGTCCCAAAAGGACCTGTAATTTTCAAGCTCTGCTTTTTAGTCACTGTAGCACACTGTAGCACACAATCATCATAGGCCTTTTCAATCATGAAAAGATCTCAAGAAACTTTTGTCAAGCCCAGTTTCAGCTCTGTACAATTGACAACTTTACAATGTATGAAGAAAAAAGAATCTTTCAACATAGATAACCACTTTTTGGGTTGACCAACACGAATTAAGGGAGCAAAAAAACATCTTTTGTACTGCAGTTTGCAGTAACTTAAAACAAATATTGCATGTCACCATGTCTTTTTCACAACTCATATACTTTTTAAAATAGTAAATAATTATTTAAAATATCAACACTGAAAACAAGTCAAAAACAAACAGTAAACCATCCAAGTAAGAAGTACCTGATGGTTTAAAAACCATATTCCATGACATTCTCTTTCACTGATGGCATTTTTGTCCAAACAGTCCATACAGGTCCACCTATTTCAAATGTGAAGGACTGACAGTTTTCATTTTTTTACCACCTTCTCCAGATAACCGATGAATCTCCTCAGGTTGATTTTGATGTTGTCTAACACACAGAGCTGCTGAGAGCTGTACTTCCCTCGTCCTTCTTTACGAATCTAGGAGGAAAACAACGTTGTGAGATATCAGATAATATTCTTCAAAATGTACATTAGCAATATTAAATAAAACGTGCCAGGTACCTTAGCCTTAAAGACAGGTTGAAGTGCCTTTAGTGCAGGTAGTAACTGGATATTTTTGGCGGCTGTCTCTGCCTCTTCTCCATCAGCAAAGACATCAAACAACGCATCCAGGGCTTCCCCATTCACAACCAGGTCTGTATCCCTGGTGGCTACTTGTAGTAAGGCGTTTCCGATCAACTGTAAGGGCACAATTTTTTAGCTAAAGAAATAGTCAAGGACCGGATAAAGGGAGAAACAGTTTACCTGAAGGGTTCCAGAAGTGCCCTTCTCTTTGGCTAATGTGCTGCCAGTGATGCCCAGAATGGCAACGGCGTTGACCCTCACACTGACAACTTCACAGGCAGTGGCTGCCTCACTCAGGCTCATCAGCTGCTGCGGGGTCATACACTGAAAAAAAACAAAAAAAACAGGCAGATATTGAGCTGTCCTACAAACACATTAGGCAGCCTTTAGTGTGAGCTGGCAGATCATTTATGAGTATGACGAGAATACAATTTCTAGCATCTGTGTGAGCTGAATTTATCCAGTGCACACTGCAACCAAGAGTGAAAAGGATTTAAGGGACCTTCCACCAATTTTACACTTGTGCCGTCGCCTTGTCATGTGAACCAATATTTACATGGTACAAACAGTTGTATTTATTCTTAAGAGGGGCTTATCAAAGTCCCACAAGAACTTCACCCTGATATTGTCGTCAAAGTTATCTCAACATGAGCTGAGAGACCATCACTTAAAATGTACAAACACAAGTTGACTCTTAATCACAGACAAATTCATGCAAATGCTGAGGGTTAAGTGTACTCTGTACCTGGGGGATATTTTTGGAGGCAATCATTTGTAAAAGAGACCGCATTGCACTGATGACAGCCTCGAGGAACTCTTCATCTTTTGGTATCTCTAAAAGCATTAGAAAGAAAAATTTAAAAATGTTATTATTGAATGGGTATTTATATGATATTGATCGATAATTTACTATTCTGTCACCTTTTATGATGTTACCGTTTTATACTGGTCACAGCTATTTTACTGTATATATATTTATATGTATTTTAGACATAAATACAACTAAGAGGGAAATATAATGTGACATCTCTGCTGTATGACAAAATGACATCACACCTGCTGCCCCAAAGACCAGCGTTGACAGGTGCTGTGCTGCTTCCTGCAGGGCAGCTGCTCCTCCGAGAGACTCTGCATCCATAGTAGAGAGGATGCTGTGAAGGCAGGTCAGAGCTCTGGACTGAACACGCTGCATTCTGAAGGAAAAAGAGGCAATTAAGGTCAATTCCCTTTGTAAAAATTAATCAACTCAAGAATTAATCAATTCTTTATATTTTTAGCAGAGAAATAAAAGGGCAGAAAACTGAAAGATTACTTTTTTATCAGGCCTCTCCAGGAGGGGTTCTCTTTGCACAAATCCATTGCTTCAATTCTGGGAAACCCACTCTTTTTAAGGACCTTGATTTCATAAGAAAACAAAAATATCACTTTGACAAACTTTAAACCATTAGAAATGTTAATGTGTGTGCAAAAATCGGGAGCTCCATCAAGTCTTTCATTTTAAGTAATCACATCCATCTAGCCTGGAGGGGAGGATGATCACAGTGTAATCAAACCACATTTAACTTTTTAATTAAAGTGAAAAACATATCGAGATGACAGCTACAGAGCCTTTAAATGCTTTTGTCAATGTTCCAACACCTCAAGGGATCCCTCCTTTCATTTTAGCTGACACTACAGGCAGTAAGAACAAAAACAGGTATTTGCCTTTTCAGGGATGCTGTGGTTCGTTAACGCTGCATGAACCTCAGCCGACAAACAAAGTGGGGACATTAGATCTGACACTCCATCACAGAGGCCATCAGGACCCATGTCGCTTTCATCGCTGCTTGACTCTTCCTCCCACTCATCATCAGAGGGGTCTGAACAGGCAAAAACACACACAGAGCATTGATCAGAGAAACAATACAGATCACTGGAGGGAATCCAGAAACTCAAAAAAGACATTTAAAGTATGTTTTTGTTAGAAAAAGTGTTTTTGATATGCTAACAAATAGTGGGTGGGGGTGTCACAGGACATAATGTTGATGAAAAGTGCCTGGGGTCAGCACTGCTGTCTGTGCCCGCAATACTCACCATCAGAGCAGCACATGTTGACAATGATCTCTAAGGACGTTTGCTGGGCTGTCAGCAAGGCCGATGCCTCCCTCAGCTCCTCCTTACCCCTCTGGACAAAAACAAGCAGCCATGTGAGTCAACAAGCTACCAAAACGATGACTGTTTGTGCCTTTATCACCCAGTCTGAGTTTAGACGCCTGCCACAGAGAAGACTTACTGAATATAACTTCCCCTAATGCATTGAGATTGTGTAGCAGCGTCATGACCAAAATCTCCTCTGAAGTTTTTATTCATACTTATTAAGTAGAACAACAAAACTTCATTTAAAAATAAAACTCAAGTGTAACCCACATAATGAGAATGCTCTGGAACTTCCTCTGTAAACTCTGGTGACTGATAGATAAGGTTAGGTCTGTCTGACCAGACTCAGAGCTGGGGAATGGAAGTTCAGTGGAAGCCAGAGGCTGCTCCCAACATGAACTCTGGGAAGTGTCCCTAGAATCTGACAAGGCTTTTTTTTTTGCTATGTCAGTCCTGCTCACACTCTGGGGTGACTCGTTCAACACCTTTTCACTAGGCATAAATTGAAACTGTTGAAACTATTCCAAAAAATGTCAGATCGAGTGACACCTTTCTTCACAAAAGCACGGGAAAATCATGTTTAACATGTCAATAAGAATAGGTCTATAACTGCACTTACATTAATTTTGGACAATGGCTGTTGTATCAAATTCTAAAATACAAATTTATGAATGTTTATCAGTTTATACTCTCCATTTGGGTATTTGAGAGGTTTGTGACTACCATGAGTACTTAGCAAGACATAAAACAGTCTTTGTCAGTGCTCTGTAGAACAAATTAAAACCTCTTTGATATTTCTTAGTGGCGCTTTTTCATATATCAGCCAACATACTGTATATGAGTCATCTCCCTGACCTTATCTGACAAGAATGAACTCATGCTTCTGACAGCGAATCAAAGTTCATAATCTTGGACAGGTGTGTTTTACTGTGTTCAAAGTTCAGCTCACGCGACAGAAAAGACTTCAAACCTGTCGCATTCATAAACAGCAAAAGGCCAATGTGACTTTATGAACAAGATACAAGATACCACTTACTGGCAAGAGGTCAGAGAAGTCATTATCAGCCCTGACAGCTTTTCCATTCCTCTTCTGTTTAGGTCCTTCCTCCTCATCCATCTCCTCCTCAACCAGCTCTTCTGCCGCCGGCTCCTCTAGCTCTGCAGCAGCTGGTGCATTTCTGTTTCGCACCTCTTCTGCCTGTTTGAGTTCAGGTATCAGTGTACCTGAGTCCAGGTCCAGGCATTTTGACAAGGTGGCCACCACAGTGTTGAGGGTCTGGGCCTGACGGGCAGCAGGCAGACTTCCCTTCATGTTCCACAGAGTCCCTGGTTGACAGCAGACAGAAAAGGACAAAGTGTATGGAGGTGTTTTGTAACAGTTTATTTATAAAGACATAACAAGTACTTTATTCTACCTGCAGCCAGTGTCTTGAGGAGGGTGTGTGCCATGCTGGGCTGAGATGACAGTAGTGCATTCTCCAGAACCCCAAGCACAGTAGGGTTCAAGCTACTGAGCAGCTCTGGGTTATCCTCAGTCACGGTGTGCAAACAGTGAGCTGGTCAAACACAAAAGGGAGGGAATGAATAGTTCAACATTTAGGAAAACAAGCCAATTTATTTTGGTTAAATGGAAATAAAGATACCGCTGTCATAACGCTGGTTTAAAAATTATGTTGGAGGCAGAAGCCATTTACCCCAAACATACACCACATTTACTGTTTAAGTGTTTGAAATCTGGCTTAGTTCTCATTCATGCTCACTATCTTACTAAATTCTGCCTTTTTTAGGTATGACTTCATTTCTTAGCACGTTACTATGACATTCTAAGAAATATCACAAACTTAAAACTGAACCCTACTACAGTTCAAAAGCTGTCCAGAAACACAGATCTTTTTCAGCTAATGTGCAGATGAACCTTTATAAAATTCGTTATGGAAACTGAGTCCATGTGTTAATCAGACCTACCAGCAGATATGGCGAGTTCAACATTGTGTGGGTGTCTCTCCATGCACTGCATGACCACATCAAGGAGACCACTCTTGTTAAACACCGACAGTGCCTGACTGCTGCTCTCACTGGAACACAACATGAGACAGACAGTCAACTAGAAGGAACGCACTACGACAGAATACACTGAAGATGTATTAATAGTTATCTATCAATTTTAGAACAGTACAAAAAATTGACAACCAGTGAAATCACCATTGCAAGATTAACTATTTTAGCTGATAGTTTTAGGAGATATTTGGGGGTACCACAATAAAAAATTGACAAAAGTGTTTGGTGACAAGACAAAAAGGAGACTTGTAACAAAGGAATTCTCCCTGGAGAATAAGTGCATGTATCTGAGCCCAACGTTCAGTCCTACCACAGATTCCACAACAGGTTCACAGCTTCATTGGCGATATCCTCCACAGCATTCTTTTGATCTGTCATTGACACGGCAGCGCTCTCAAACCCAGCACAACACTGAAAGACAAAAACATGGTTTATGAAAACCTTTAACTTCAAAAAAGTGTTGACACTGTGATTTCTTTTGATGCTAGGAGTCTGTTTTTCTTTAGTATCAGTGCAGCTGAAGGAAGTCTAATTACTGCAAACATACTGTATATCACAACTGTCTGCTTCAGCAGCTGATGAAAAGGAACCAAAGTGATGCGATGGGCTAAAAGCAGCAGCACTCTCACCTCTCTAAGCAGCGCTGTCAGAGGGGTCATGACGTCGTGTTTCACCATGTCCTCACACACCTCCTGACCTCCACATGCACTCAGATTCCTGCAAGGGGGAGAAAGATGTCCCAGACACACAGTCATCATTTTGTCGGGGTGCTGTCAGAGACGCTGTTTGTTTTTGTGCGAGAGCCTGAAGGAGACCTGCGAGTGGTCTGTCTTAGTTTGGTGTACTGTCCAAACCAAGCCTTGATTTAGCATCTGCTGGAGGACGACAGTCAGGAGGATAAAGTTGTGCATACAAACGGGAGTTGACTGTATGTAGGATGCTGGTTATGATAATGATCATAACAGCTTTTTGGGGTTAAAATTCTGATCAAATTCAACAGCCCTGATAAGATGTTTGCACTTTTGGAGAAGTTTGGGGTGATTTATTTAGAAAAGTTGCCATGAAAATCAGGAATAAGAATGAACTGAACTCAGACTAAAGTCATATACAATCAGTAATATTATACTTCTAACACAAGCCACCAGATGCAAGCTCCTTCTTTATTACAGGGCAGACATTTTGTTGAAACATGGCGCCCTCTTCAGTGCATAACTGATAAATACCTCTGTACCTTACTATGCTGCACAATCACACACTGTTGTGTGACCGTATCTAAATATGAAAATAATAATTAAAAAACACCAGGTGAAAATAACTGTTTTGTGACTTAGTTTGCATGAAAGTAAGTCACCAACCAAAAATTACTTTTAAACTAAAAATAGACTTAAAAATGTCCTTCATAGTTTTGTCAACACTGCAGAAGCAGAACAGGAGTACAGGTTGAACTCAGGTAGTTTTTCATAGCCTTTATAAAACCAACATACTGATTCACTTGGCCTTAATACAGCCAGTACTGCTACCATACAATCGGTCATCTTATCAACTCCTGTTTGATAATGAAAAAACATATTTTAGTTCTTGATCTTCATTTAAAATGCCCCCTATAGCATCAATGAGTCAAAATGTTTGTTGAAAGGAAATACCTTTCCGAGAATTTTCCAAAAAGTAACTAATTTTGTTAATACGGTGATACACTAAGCACTCCCTGTCTTCTGGGAGGAACAGTCTCATAATTTCTGAAGTGTCAGGTCATTCTTAGAGCAGAAAGCTTTATGTATGTTTATCACAAAATCAGCCCTTGGGTATCTCTGATTTTGTACTCTCTTCTTCACAAGCTGACCTGTTGATGACCGGTCTAATGCTGTTTTGCCTGAAGCTTGTTGTGTCCAGACAGGGTCTACATTTTTCAAGCTAAGATGTGACCTAGGGATACTTTTGGGAAAACCATCCTGGTCTTATCAGAACATCCCCCCTTAGTTTGTGGGATAAACCCCACTGCTGGTGGTCTAACCTGAGCGCCCCAGTAGCAGTCTCCCTGACAGCTAGGCAGCTGTCCAGCAGCATGGGCCCCAGGCGCCTCACGGCATCCCTCTGTAGGAAACCAGGGATGGTTTGACTCTGCTGCACCACCCGAGAGATGCTGGCACATGCAAACTCCCGCATGTCTGCACTGGGACTCTGTAACTATAGGGAAATGTAAAAATCACAACTGGACTATTCAAACAGACCTCTTTCCCACGCCCTGGAGGAAACTCATGATGGACACACGGTTCATGGAGCTTTAAGGCTTTGTTGAGTTAGATTTGGAATGTACAATTTACAAGAGGATGGAAAATTAGGCTTTATATACGTACATTACATTCATTCAGACACAAGACTCTAAACTGTACAATCATTTATGAGTAAATCTTCCAGGATCAATGTAGTTTCAGTATCAAGTTTCAGTAGAGGAGAGTGGGGTAAGTTGACCCAAAGGGTAAGTTGAGCCACCTCCTGTTGCTTGGAAATGGTAAACGAAATTGATCATTGACCAAATATTTAGGAGATGGGCATCAATTCATGGAGTCTGTGAAGTTTAGAAGCACATGGGTGAAAGGGTTAGACATTTATTTACAAAAAAAACAAAAAAACATTTTTCACACTAGAGAGTGAATTTAATCTGTTTTATTAGAATTGTGTTCCGACCAAATAAGGTCATTTTAAATTTGTTTTATACATCAATTGTGGTATCTATGAGCTATGAACATAAAAGTCCACCATTTTAATTTAAAGGACTAATAAAGTCATAATCATAGTTCTGGGGTAAGTTGAGCCAGTGGCTAAACTGACAAAGTAAAGAAGTCTGATGAGAGGATCAGAGTTTCAGTTCAGATAGTTGAAATGTGTTACTTTTTCTTTTCAAAAATACAGCTGTGGATGTTTTGAATCACTTAAAGGCATTCTCATGTTAAAATGGCTTTTTACAAAACAGCTTTTCAGCAGTTAATAATAAAAAGAATGATTGTACCAGTTGAATAGTGTATAATAAATAAAAATAAACATGAATGTGAAGAAGTGACTGTTATTTAGGGTGAGAAAAGGTGAGGGACGGCTGGGGTGGAGAGTGGGGGGGGTAGTAGGGATACGGCTCAACGTACCCCATACACGGGATAAATTGACCATAGGAGACCACTTCTTTGGCATGCTATATTATCAAGACAGTTATGTTTACACACATTCTGTTGGTTTGCAGGGATGCACAACATAAATACATGCAGATACACTAGTTGGAAACAAAACTATGATTGCCTTGATGTAGTGATCCGAAATATGAAAAATGGCTCATTTTACCCCACTCTCCCCTATAATCTACAACATTGAGCTCCAAATTAAATGTCCATTGGTGCCGTTTGAAGGCTATGAAATCTAACACATAAAGATATGCCGCACAGAGATTAATTCTGGTAAGAAAAGGAGGTTTTAGACTGTTCCTACTTTCTCCAGTAACTCCGCGGCTGGACAACAATCTTCCTCATGGTGCTGCTCCTCGTCAGCCTCGTCCTCCTTCACAGCGTTCACCGGCAGTCCCACTGTGTTAAACTGCGGACGTTTAAACTTCGTGGTTTTACTTTTACCCATTTTATGTCGTTTTAAAGTGCGAAGTATGCATCCAACGTGAGTTTTCCACTTGAACGCTGACCACTATCAAACTCTCACTCCGGCTTGGTTGGAGGCCATGTGGAAGATTGCATTCTGCCGTAAAACGAACGCGACTGACAGAAAGCAGGAAAGCTGTCGCAAAACCAACTAGGCACGCGACATGCCTCTTCCACGCATTGTAGTACATCACAAACACGAAACTTCCTTACATTCAGAAATAAAACAGACAGAAATGTTTATATCTTAAGTATTTATTTGGTAAATAACTTTAAAAATAGAAAGACTTAGATAAAATACATGCTCAACATCAGAAATAAACAATATATCAAGAACAAATGAGTAGATCTGCCTCTCCAGTGGTGAGATTAACCAGCAATCCAGTTAAAAGGCCCCTTCAATTAACTTCTTCATTTACCCATCACCTACAGAACAGTGTGACTTCTCCATCAGTCCTTGTTGCAGGTTCAAACCAGTCAGAGAACTTTAGACCTAGAGTGATCAGCATCCAACAAATACTCAGTACGTTATCTGAACTCCACACTCCAGCTTTTGGTCATTGGATGTTTGGCCGTGGCTTGAGAATCAGTTTCCCTGTCTGGAAGAAAACAAAGAAGGAGTTTTCCAGCAGAAGTTTTCTCGAAGTAAAACGGATGTTCAAACTTTAGAGACATTTGTTGACTTACATCATCACAGGACATGTTGTATTCTGCTAAAACTGTCCGACAGCGAGCAGCGATACTTGAGGAGCATCAGTCAAAGATGTTAACCAGTGGGTCAGAAATTCAGCATCATGAATAAAATTGCAGTAACTCGAATGTTCTGCATGATCTTCACTTTGCTGTCACTCAGGTTAAACTTTTCATCTCTGGGCAGTTGCCGAGTTATGACAATGATGAAAAAGTTATCACATGACTTCACATTACCCACAACTGGAAAAGGATACATCGATGGTGCCACAACTCGTTTGTGTATCCCAGCAAAAAAAAGAGCTATGAGAGTGATGCAGCTGATGGTAAAGAAAGGATGATTCCACAGCGATGAAAAGAAAGAAACCTGGAGCAGACAGATAAAGCAACATAAATTATCCAATTACAACAAACATTCCCTTTTATAGTTGTTCTTGAAGCAAGTAAGAGGCATCAGAGAAAAGTATCAGATAACACTGACTGGGTCCACCAATGTGTTTTTAGGTTTTACACAAACAGTAAAGACATTACTGGCACTTTTTGAGGCATTGAAGCTAGATTGGTTTGACTTGAGTCTCAAAATCTTAAGGGATACTGGGGGTATAAATAATTTAGGGTCAAACACACCGCAACACCGAGTTAGACACCCCCTCGAGAGATGAATGTTGCCGACTGCTTGCTTTTCTAGTTATGCCAACTTTAGTAATGACTGCACGATAGCAATACACAGCGGTCTGAGGAGCCATAAACAAACCTCAACCAAAAACCACTCTATAGCCACAAATAATGCTCAGAACAGCACCTATCTTCATCTACAGAACATATAGGGAACCAGCCACAGCACTAGCCACCAAACATCTTTCTAACTTTGCCTGATTTCTTTAGCACAGAGACTAAACACAACTCACCTACTCTCTTCCAGCAGCCGCTTGTTTGTAGCGAGACCTCAGGCCAGTCCATTACGGACTGCTGCAGGGGGACGCAGCTCAAGGAAGAACATTTATGATAATTTCTTTGAAGTAATAATCACCATATTAATCATTTTGCACTTCAGACGCGGTAGTTCCTCTGCCTCAGCGTCTCGGTCTGATTGCATTTCCATGAAGAAATGATCATAAATGTTCTTCCTGAGGCTGCATCACCCTGCACCAGTCCGTAATGGACTAGTCCGATGTCTCGCTACAGACAAGCGGCTGCTGGAACAGAGTAGGTGAGTTGTGTTTAGTCTCTGTGCTAAAGAAATTAGGCAAAGCTAAAAAGATGTTTGGTGGCTAGTACTGTGGCTGGGACCCTATATGTACTGCTGATGAAGGTAGGTGCTGTTTTGGGCATTATTTGTGGCTATAAAGTGGTTTTTTGGTTGAGGTTTGTGTACGGCTCCTCAGACCGCTGTGTATTGCTATTATGTGGTTGTTACTAAAGTTGGTATAACTAGAGAAGCAAGCGGTCGGCAACATTCATCTCTCGAGGGGGTGTCTAACTAGGTGTTGGGGTGTGTTTGACCCTAAATTAATTTTACACCAGAATATCCCTTTAATGTGAGAAAGACCCTTGAAGTGCAGGCATGACATCCTCTAGCAGGGTTCTTTATTTTAATTTTTTCCAAACCAACTCTGAGCCATTCTAGGTGAAATTTATTGTGCATCACCTGTTGTGCAGCCTCCATTGAATTTGCTCATAAACATTTTTACTTACATTTTACTCAATTTTCACTACATTGGTGCTTCACTCAAATAAACTCACTGATCTCTAATAGTTTTATCATGTAGCCCGTAGCTACACGATAAAACCATTACACCCAAATATGTTAGAGGATAATAGTTGCATTGATTGCTGTTGACTATCCTGATATGTAATAAGAGCTCTGAGTTTCTTTGAAACTAGAAATAACATTTTATGAGATGTTTTCTGCAAAGACAAACCTTTTGTGTGTCAGGATCTATTAACCAGTTCCAAGCTCCAGTGGCCGTACAGACAGACACCACAATTAAAATCACTGAAATGCAACAAGAGAGACCCAGTTAAACAACACACAATGACTTCAACAGGGGTTAAATGCTTTTAGTCGTAAAACAATATGAGATGATGTAAAACTTCAATCCATGATCATGTCTGGCCCATTCTTGGCATTACTTTACTTGATGTCTTGTCATGATTTGTTTTAAACATTAATATGATGTTGAAGTCAGATGGCTGATACATGCACTTTGCTAAGTTAAGATAACCACTGTTGTTGGATGTTACTACTTACTTCTCCACCTGCCTGTAGCGGGCTGCAGACAAGAGACATACTCCGTCAGTCTTCTCTCAAAAGCCTTCAGGTCTGAAATAAAGAAGACATAAAGACACATCTTGTTTTGGCCTATTTCTTAGGAACTAATAATTCCACTGTGAAAAATGTTTCAGTCATCTCTCCCTCTTTCCATCTTTAGCAGTCTCAAACTTGAATTTTTATCTAACTCTGAAGTGTCCTTTAATTCGGGCGGTCAAACTTATAAAACTGAGAAAGCTACTGTTTGGATTCCCAAAACATGTTTGGTACGATGGGCTCAAAAGTGAGACATGACAGGAGTGCTGACAAAAACTAGCTTTATGTCCTACTATATCTCCAGTATGAACAAATATAGACTTTTACAAACGTGAATACCGTATGATCATTCTGAAACAGCATTTAACCGAGCTTACATTTGTCAGTTCAGTTCAGCTAGCAGACATGCTAAGAGTCGTGAGCAGTCTGCTAGCCGGCGTCCACGACGTTGCACCCCGCTTTGAAGTTACACCTTAGGAGTCATATGTTGAATTTATATCACGGTAGTAGCTGCGAGGATAAAATCAAAAAGCGGCTGGTGCAAAACCGTGAAAAATTAAGGTGCTTTCAGTGTGACTTACCTTCGGCCTGTTCCAAGGAGTTCATGTCTGCTAAGTCTTCACACAGAAGCCTACGGTTGGCTGTGTCCCTGCTTCCGCTTGGATGATGGACAGGCTGTGCAGACCAATCCACATCGGGTCACTTCTAAACTCTGACGTGATTGGCTGTAAACAAGTGATGGGCGGTCCTAAAAGTTCCGCCCCTCACTCTTAGGCCCATGAGTAACTCAAGGTTTAACACTTGTTTAAAATGGAAAACAATGCAATGTACAGTATGTAAGAAAATAATACTTAATAAGAAAGTACATATAACAGAGTACATATAATAGAGAATAAAGTTTTATTATAATTTGGTAATGGTTCACCTTACAAACTGTAAATGAGAATGAGAATACTTTATATGTCCCTTTGATTTTCTTCACATGAAACATGTCAAACATTCTTAATGTATATTATATTTTCATCTCTTCAGATTTTTGTGTTTTCAGGAATCCCCACTTTCATTTTCCCTTTACAACCATAACCTGTTGTCTTTGAGACCCAAATTTTTAAACCTGTAAATGAGGACCCATGAACACTTCATGCATCTTATCACTGACATTATTTACATATCTTCAACTCACTTCTTCAACTCATTAAATGAGTTTATTGTCAGATTGTGTAGTGCTGCTTTTTATCAGCGATCTGTAGTTTAGTCTGCAGTTTTATTTTGAATTTTTCCCCCAGGAGTGATTCTATTTCATCCTCAGTTATGTATCTCATGTCTAAGATGTCAACACCTTTCTCAGGTTGGTAGGTGACCTCACTGTACGTCCAGCCAACGAGGGCTCTGAACCCTGTTGGAGTTTGCAAAGAGCAGATGGACTTGTTAATGAACAGTGAATCAGGATCTGTCTGAAGACTGTTGTTGATCTCAAAGAAATGGTCTATCTCTCGTGGCACTAGGGTGAAGCCGTAAACCTGATGTGTTCCTTCCTTAGACAACAGACGTGATTTGGCAAAGTCAGGGTTGAGAACCTCAGGCTTTCTGGCGGTCTTCTCCAGCACCCACAAGTCCCCTTTGTCTGTGAGACGAAAGACACCACCTGCCTGAGGCTGGTCTTTCCCAGAGACCAGCTCCAGGGGCTCCCACATTTGGAAAGACACCCCAAAGCTTACATCTGCCACATAGGCCTGCCCATCAATTCTTACCATGTGAATGAGATGAGATTCAGTAGTTGGAAAGTCGTGGGTGGTATGACTGTAGACTCTGGAGCCCAAGGTAGTAGTATCATAGCCCATTTCTCTCAGCACCCAGCCAAACAATGAGTTGTTCTCCAAGCACCAACCCCCACGGCTGCTCCTCACTAATTTTTCAAAGATGACCTCCAGGTCTGTGACGATTCTCTCTCCACAGTGAATGCTTAAGTTTTCAAATGCAATTGACATGACATGTTGTTTGAGGATCAATCGGAGTGTTGCAAGATCCGGCTTGTCAAACAAGCCATGGAAACCAATTCTTTTGAAGTATTCCTGCAAATTCATTTTGCCTGTAAAATGCAAGATGTTGTTAAGATTTATGGTTTTGTTACTGCACAATCATCTGAATTGTCTTAATGCCTCAAAAGCCAAACATCAAAAGTATCAATGAATCCTGATAATTTCTTCCAAATTCTAACAATCACAAAACTGGGGTTTTAGTACACTCACTGAACATCAATTAACTGCTTTCACAAACGGATGTTAAACATGTTCAAGTTTCACAGATATAAAGTTTGAGACACAAATAAGTTTTTAAACATACCTTTCTCTGGTTGATTAAGTGTTCTGACGATACAAGTGGAGCACACACTTTCTCAGACAGAAGTTGCTCAGTTACTTAAAAAAAATCTGAGTAAAAAAGCAGAGGTTTTGCAGGTGTTCAGGAGCAACAGTGATTCAGCAAGATCATGACAACTCACAGGGACCTTTGGTTAATCAGTATAAGGTGTCTTAAGTAACTCTGCCAGGCTTTTCAAGGAAAGATAAATAACTAGATTTATCATGCACTTATTTTATAAGTTTATAGCATAATCACTGTTCAAATTGTGCTAGATGACTGTATTGACCATTATTCCTGTTTTATGTAAAGATCCATGTACAATCAGATTCTCAAATGTTGACATTTTTGACATTATTTAGACTATTTCAAAATAATGAGAGCATCTAATTTTTCTTCACCCAGAAATGACAAAAGGCATGTCAAAGGTCATACTTCCTGTGTTCAGGGATCTTTTAACAAGTCCTTACCCTAAGTTGCCAATACACTCCTCAAACATTACTATTATTATACTTTTGGGTGAATTCATAATAAAAATCTGTTGACAGATATAAGAGTCTAACTATGGTGACAAGAGACAATATATTGTACACATATATACTACAGAGCTGGCACAAGCCTAAATAAGGCCCTAAGCAAAATCTGATTTTTGGGCCCTCTATTTCTGCCACTAATATTGATTGTTGATCATTCACACACCTACTACAGTATAAATTTAATGCACCTGACATGTCTTTATACATTTAAGGGGGTTGCCTAGGTAATAGCACAAATAATACCAATGCAACCTTACAAATAATACCAATGAATGACTGATGAATAATGTTCAGGGTGCCACATATGGTTTATTATCTCAAAATGTTACACATTCGGGATGCTTAGTGCACATTGCACAGCAAGAGGCACATAACGGTATTGGAGCTTTGACATATCGGCAGTAAGAATCATAGGCCTTCATCAGCAGCAGCACTAGTGTTACGGAAAGCATCACTCATACGTGCAAAAAATATATTTTTTTTTAATTGCTCTTGGGGCCCCCTACTGGCCGCAGCGCCCTAAGCAGGCACTTGGTTCGCTTATGCCTTTTGGGCCACTTGGTGTCAAAATCCTCAGCCATGATTAGCTACTTCCTTTATCAAAGGTGGACCTCAAATTATATTCAGAGAGAGAGAGAGAGAGAGAGAGAGAGAGACCCAGTTTGGCCACCCTGGTCATAAAAGTTTGGATACCCCCCTGTATACAGGGAACAAGAGGATGTCAAATTGAAATGCCTTTCTGAGTTTACATTAACCGCATAGCCTACACAAGGGCCAAAAGCTGGGCTAACTGCGGCTGTCAGCTTTAGCGAGACGGACACACTTTATTCATAGTTAGGCTCCAAAACTTCTGTACACATTTTGGTTAACGTTTCATAACTTACATTTTACTTTTATCGGTATATTCCAGGTTTGCAGCAGTCCTCACGTTCTGGTGGAGCCACTTCCTGGTGTTGTAGGGTCGTGTCACGGATCTCTTCTCCCCCTGCAGCAGGCGGATCCCTCCTAAACTTTCGGGCCCCTCCTCCTCCTGGCTGCTCCTCAACTTCCATTCTCAAAAAACACTTCAGTGTTAGCCTGGATCCATGGTGTAACTTCTGCCTCACCTAAAAAGTAAGATATTTCACTCTTTTAGCCGATGAGAGGGTTCCACCGGTCATTGATAATAGTTTGAGCTGAAGTGAAAACAGGGATTTCTTGCGGTAACATGTTGTAGCTCCTCCGGGCACCGACATGGAGCCTCATCCTCCTCATGTTTTGATTTTGTTGTTCGGGCTGTTGGCTAAGGGGCTAACTTTAGCTTAGCTGAACTCATCTGAGAATCAGGTGAACCTACTGGAGTTTGTGTAAAAGTTGAAAAATCTCCAGTGGTGAAAGTTTTACAAACCCACGAGTTTTCTAAGAAGTAACGGCGAAGTTATCCGAAAGATCTGTTTTGAGGTGACGGTGGGTCGCTACCGTTATCATGCTAACACGGTCAAAATCAGTGTGCCTTTATAAGCTTTCTACTTTTAGCCTTTTATTTGGACTCATGTAAACTAGACACTGTAAACTAAGCACCCCAAACTAAAAGCATCTTTGTGTGATTGTTCCGTGTTACTTTTGTGAATTTCATTTTGCATGGTTGATTACAGTTAACCTCATAACTATGTATTCTGCGCCTCAAAATGCTCTGCCTTCTCTTAGTACATAAAAAGTTGCGATGGAAATAGGTACTAGACATGACAATGTCTTTACCCAAAGCCTGAAAGATGTTAAAATTGAGTATTGAACTATTGTCCTCAAATTCTTACTGTATTTGAACTTTTGTCATTTACTAAAGCAAACAAAAATGCCCCAAGAAGATGGGAGACAAATCTGTTGTAAAATATAAGCTATCAGAAATTTCAAAAAACCTAAATACTCTTATTTTACATGGTATTGTAATTTGATTTTAATTTTAATCAAACTCATTGTTGAAGTAAGGCCTGGTCCCTACAGAATGAGCTAGACCATAAGGTCTATAGTTTAAAGTTTGAGGCATGGTAATACGAATTCCTCTTAAAGGGATATTCCTTTGTAAAATTAATTTTAGGTCAAACACACCAAAACACCAAGTAAGACACCCCTCGAGAGATCAATGTTGTTGACCGCTTGCTTCTCTAGTTGTACCAACTTTAGTAACGACTGCAGGATAGTAATACACAGCAGTCTGAGGAGTCACAAACAAACCTCAACCAATACGCCACTCTATAGCCACAAATAATACCAAGAAGAGCACCTAACCTCGTCAACAGTACATATAGGGTCCCAGCCATAGTTTCTTTAGCAAAAAGACTAAACACAACTCACCTATCTGTTCCAGCAGCCGCTTGTTTGTAGCGAGACCTCAGACCAGTCCATTACAGACTTCTGTGGGGTGACGCAGCTCAAGGAAGAACATTTATGATCATTACTTCATGGAAATGCAATCAGATCGAGACGCTTAGGCAGAAGAACTACCGCGTCTGCGGTGTAAAATGATTAATATGATTATTACTTAAAGGAAATGATAAAGTAATGATCACAAATGTTCTTACTTGAGCCGAGTCACCCCGTTGCAGTTGATGGACTCACCCAGAGGTCTCCATACAAACAAGCGGCTGCTGGAAGAGAGTAGGTGAGTTGTGTTTAGTCTCTTTGCTAAAGAAACCAAGCAAAGATAAAAAGATGTTTGATAGCTAGTACTTTGGCTGGGACCGTATATGTACTGTTGATGAAGTTCTGAGGATTATTTGTGGCTATAGAGTGGTGTTTTGGTTGAGCATCTGGCTCTCTGTTTTGCCATCTGCGGTTGTTACTAAAGTTGGTATAACTAGAGAAACAAGCAGTCAGCAACATTCATCTCTCTCGGGGGTCTCTAACTCGGTGTTACGGTGTGTTTGACTCTAACTGAATTTTATTCTGGAATATCCCTTATATAGTTTTTTAAATTTTCTTTGTAATTGTTTTTTTCTCCTCCAGTGGCCCAAACATGATCCATACATAGCAGAACACATGAGGGTACAGCAGAAATGTCTCCCAAAGTGCCCAGCGGTCATGGCAGGGGGGATTTCTCAGCGGTTCAAGTTGCTGTTCGGGTGCGTCCCCTCCTGCCAAAAGAACTCCTTCACTGCCATGAGAGCTGTATCACTGTGGACTCGGAGCTATGCCGGGTTACACTGGGTCATGACCGACACTTTCTTTGTGACTACCTATTTGAAGAAACCTGCTATCAAGATGAAGTCTACTCCGTGTCCGTGCAGCCACTTATAGATGCCTTCTTTCAAGGTTTCAATGCTACAGTCTTTGCCTATGGACAGACAGGCTCAGGCAAGACATATACCATTGGAGAAGCGAACATCTGTAAGCAATTGTCTTCATTTTTTCTTTCTTTTATTTCAAAATTACTTTTAACTTTATTTACTGTACAACTTTTTGTGTCATCAAGTACTTTGTCCTGTCTAAATGCCTAATTCAAACTCATATAGGCTTACAGTTCTTTTGGAAAATTTTCACCGTACTCATCGATGAGCTGCAACAAGCCAGAGGCATGCTTATGTGAGTGTGTGTATGTGGTGTCTGTGTCTAAAGGTTCCTTTAGAGATGAGGAGCAGGGAATCATTCCCAGGGCTGTTGCAGATATCTTTAGACTGCTCGATGAAAATGACCTCACAGACTTCTCTGTCCGAGTCTCCTATCTGGAGGTCTACAAAGAGGAGTTCAAGGACTTATTGGAGGTGGAAACAGCCAGCAAAGATATCCACATCAGGGAGGATAAGGGCAACATAGGTATGGAATAGACAACTACATTTGTAAGCATGTTTTTGTGGCTGTGATATGAAATTTAAGTGACACATGTTTCTCTGCATTTTGTATCCTTGTCTATCTGACTTTACAGTTTTGTGTGGCGTAAAGGAGTGCGAGGTGGAGGGTCTTGATGAGGTGTTGAGTTTACTGGAGTCTGGAAACACAGCCAGGCACACTGGTGCAACCCAGATGAATCCAAACTCCAGCCGGTCACACACCATTTTTACTGTGTACATGGACCAGCGTCGGGGAAGCTCTCGGCTTTATGGGACAGCTACAGGCTCTGGACCACAAATGTTATCCTCCAAGTTCCACTTTGTGGACCTGGCCGGATCAGAGCGTATCCTCAGGACAGGGAACACAGGAGAAAGACTGAAAGAGAGTATCCAGATTAATAGTGGTCTTCTAGCTCTGGGAAATGTTATTGGGGCACTCGGAGATCCAAAGAGGAAAGGCTCTCACATACCATACCGAGATTCCAAAATCACAAGGTAACTTTTAAATACAACTGAAGAGATCAAATCTAACAGAAAAGTTAGTTTGGTTTTAATGATTTCATGTTTCTTCTAGGATCCTTAAAGACTCTTTGGGAGGAAATTCCAAAACCCTGATGATTGCCTGCATCAGCCCGTCCTCCTCCGACTTTGACGAGAGTCTGAATACCCTTAACTATGCCACAAGGGCCAGAAACATCCAGAACCGTGCAACTGTCAACTGCAAGCGTGAGCCAGACCGAGTAGAAGGTCTGGAGCAACAAATCAAGGCTCTCCGCAGGGCCCTCGAAACCCGCCAGCGCTCAGAGACCCGCATCATATCTCACGCTGATCCAAATAGGAGACCTCGACTGGGAGAGGGGGAGATGAGCAGACTGCAGGCCCAGAGTGCCCACTACAGGACGTGCACGGACACTGCTTACAGGTTCATGCTAACCGATCAACTTTTAATTGCATGATTTTAAAATATGCTATGAAAGTGTTATCATACCATCACTAGCTACATTATTCAGTTCCCTGAATGTTCTTGACTATTGAGAAGTTTATTTGTGAATGCAGGTGCAAGCCATCAGAAGTTTGTTGGTTTCCGGTCAGAGTAAAAATATGTCCTGTCAGACTGAAAAAGAAGTTCTGCTTGGGATGTTTCTGTGTTTACACTTATTCATAAGTTTGAAGAACTTCATAAAAACTTAATGCAATCCCTGGTAAACTCTGGAGTTAGTTTGGATCAAGGTTTAAGAACTCCTGTATCTATTTAGTTGCTTTTATTCAATGAGCAGTCACCTTAAGTAATACCGTTACAAACATTTCCTCTTCTTTATGTACCCCAGGTTGCTGCGGGAGCTGCAGAATGAAGGAGCTCTCACTGCAGAACAGAGTCTGAGAGTGAAGGAGTGGCTATGCTCAGTGGAGGAGGAACGGAGTGGTCTGACCACCGCCTCTGGACCAGACAGCGGCATCGAGAACAGCTCCACCGAGGAAAGTGTTGCATTAAGGAGAGGGAGGCCCTCTGTGAGAAACCAGGTCAGTCTCTTTATACTCACAAAATAACATTAAAGTGTTTTCCAGTATTAATGTAGTGTATGTTTTACTATCAGGACCAAGAGGTTGCAGAGGAGAGGTGGAGCCATGCCCGTGAAAGTGAGAAAGATGGAGAGAAAGAGGTTCATCAGCTTCAAGCACAGATCCAGAGGTTGGAGAGGGAGAACACCGACTTTTTAGCTGCTCTTGAGGATGCAATGGAGCAATACAAGCAGCAGGTAAGATGCAGTGATTAAGCATGGAGGGCCAGGGTCTTACTGATAATAAAAGCAGTATTTCCTGCCTTACATGATATGGGTTGTCTTTTTGTCAGAGTGATAAGCTGCAAGAGCAACAGGACTTGATAGCAGAGCTGCAGTGTCATCTGTCTGCTCCAGCATTGATGGGCCTGGGGCTCAATCTAAGATTGCGGCCACACACAGCTCCCATGGGCTCCATTCAACACAGCCAGAATGGAGGAACATACAGACAGGTAATCAAAGCGTGGTATAAATTTAAAAGTGAAAAAGCTTTGAGAGGTGGTGCGGGGCTTGTTTTCTGATAGTATGGGTGTATGCTGAAGCAAGCCCAAAACCGACCCAGACAAATATTTACTTGTTTGCTGCTCTGACGTTGATGTGTATGGTTTCAGGTCAGTCCAGTAGGCTATGTCAGTTATGGGCTTGGTGACCAGGATGGGAGCTTCTATGAGGAGCAGGAGATTCCAGGAGGCACAGAGACAGAGGACACAGAGGAAGAAGGCAGTCAACTCAACTTCAGCCGGGAGAGACGCAAGTATGTTCGAGACATTACACCTCACAGCTGAACTGAGTGTCACTTAAACCAATCACACACACTACAAAACAACAAGATGATTTTCATGTTATCTGTGAAATGTTGATGATGGTAATGTTATAAATCTGACAGGGCGGTCAACCTAACCTGGACCAAAAGAGACGTGCTGTCAGGAGGACTAGTAGCTGCTGGTAGAGGTCTCATGTCTCAGCTACCTGAGCCTGAGCTGCACCCCTGCTTAGCCAGGAAAGCATGTAAGTGTAACAACCTCATGTGCTCCCACTTGTGGAGAAAGACTGACATATGATTAAGCATTATGTGAAAAAAATCCACAAGGTTTTGTCTGGTTTTGCCTTGATTTCTAGAAGTCATTTGTTTGCTATGTTTTGGTATGCATTTTGTGGCGAACATGCACGCCTGTCTCCACAGAAAAGTCTTTGGATTACAGTTTTTGCACGTTTTTAATTGTGCAGTTTAGCTTTTATTCCACTTTATGTTCATCTAGTACAGTCAAAATGACATCTAATTCATGCACACATCCAGGATAAGAGTCTTACAGGGAATTTCTACTCAGGTATAGGAGCTTGAACCTTGGTGATTCCTCTTGCTGCTTTCTCATTTGCACCTTGTATTCTCTCTTATACCTCTTTATAGCAAATGCCAGTACTGGGGAAACGTCTGTGCGTGAAAGTCTGAAAAGTTTTGAAGGTGTTACAGAATGGGGACTTCATCAGGCACAGCAGAAAATCAGGGAGCTGTCTGTCACCATTCGAATGAAGGAAGAACTCATCAAAGAGCTGGTCAAAACAGGTATAAATCAAGATTTTGTTTTTCTTCTTTTCCTATTTTTTCTCAATTTCTTTCTACATTCTCTACAATTTACATTTTTTTTATTTGTTGCAAATTTTCTGTAGGTAAAGACGCTCAGGCCCTGAACAAACAGTACAGCCATAAGATTGCAGCTCTGGAGAGTGATGCCTTGCAGGCTCGACAGGAGCTGCAGGAAGCTCAACGGCAGCTGCAAGATCTGGAAAAGCAAGAGAAAGAAATTAGCTCCACAGACAAAACCAGAGCTCAGGAGTGTCGCAGGAAGATAGCTGCTGCCCAGAGCAAAGTTCAGGTTGGACTGTCATGCCTCTGTATAAATATCTAATTACACTAACAACAGAAAAATACCAGTCGAATGATGCTGATGTATGTGGTCTCAAAAATTATATTGTAAAATCTGTACATAGTCTTTAAAAGAAAAATGTGTGTGTTTTGAATGAAGGTTCTCAGTCAGCGACAGAGGGATACTGCTCGTCTGGCTAACCTTCCTGCACAGAGTGAGCGTCGTGTGTTGGAACTGGAGCGAAGTGTTCAGAGTATGCGGCAGCAGCAGGAGCAGCTGCAAAGGCGGCTGCGCCAGGAAAGTCAGCAGAAACGACGCCTGGAGACGGAGATGCAACGCAGAACTCACAGAGTCAAGGTACCTGAGCTTTGTCTGTATATTATCCAGGGCGCAAATACTTTTCTCTTTAAAGAAGGAAATCACTTTTATGATGTAGTTGACCCCTATTGTTTCTTTTGCTCATCCATCATCGTCCTTTTTTAGGAGCTTGAAATAAAGAATGAGCAGCAACAAAAAATCTTGAGGATAAAGACAGAGGAGATCGCTGCCTTCCAGAGGCAGAGGCGCAGTGGCAGTAATGGCTCTGTCATCTCTTTGGAAGAGCAACAGGTGGGACGAGGGTCTAACTTCAAATTCATACAAAGCAAATGGCTTATAAAAACATTTTTGCTGTTCAATTAAGGAAGTAAAGAGTTTTGCCTGTTAATTCCCAGCAGTCTGACTCTGTTTCTATTTGGGTGTGATTTTTGGCTTTTGTCTCAACTCCTGTGAGCAGAAGATCGAGGAGCAAAAACGTTGGCTGGATGAAGAAATGGAGCGGGTATTGGAACAGAGGAAGGGCCTGGAGGATCTGGAAGGAGAGCTGACTAAACGAGAGGAAATCCTGGCCAAGAAAGAAGCCCTGCTTCAGGAACGCAGTGGACTGGAGACTAAGAGGCTCCGCTCCAGTCAGGTACTGACGATCACACACACCCAAGTTTAAAGACTCAAGAGACAAGCAAAAGGTTCAAATGTTTATTTCTGTCTTTTCCAGGCCCTGAGCAAAGACCTGGTGATGCTAACAGGTCGTATTGAGACCCTCGAGCAAGAGCTGAGTGAGAGAAATGGTCTACTTCGCAGCAGCAGCGCTCAAGACTCACAGCAGATTCGTCAAGAAATCTCCAACCTGCGTCAGGAGAAAGATTCATTGTTGAAACAAAGAGTGGAGCTCGATGAAAAGCTGCGACAGGGGAACCTGCTCTCCCCCGAGGTCAGACACTGCTCAGGTTTATCTGGTAACATGATAGAAGAACAGATTTGTTTCTTATCTGGTAGTGGTAAGTTTTTAATTTTAGAGCACAAAACTTTGCTGTCCTGCAGTAATGTGGTAATAATAATGTTTTAACTAGAACCTGTGCAGAAAAGAAACTGTTATACCTGTATGTAACTGAATCCTCTTACAGTTTGTCTGTTCTCTTGGGCAATTTCAGGAGGAACGAACACTTTTCCAGTTCGACGAGGCAATCGAGGCTCTAGATGCAGCCATTGAATACAAGAACGAGGCCATCACTCAGAGACAGAGACAGCTGAGGGCATCTGCCAGCATGCTGTCTCAGTGGGAAATGAACCTAATGGCCAAACTTAGTTACCTGTCTGCTTCTGAGACCAGAGCTCTACTGTGCAAGTACTTTGATAAGGTCAGTGCAAGCTCCATCTGATTCTAACAATACTGTTATATTGTATACAGTATACGGCTGTGAGTTGAGACTGTAACAGCATACATGAGCATTATAATACTGATTCTCTGGGTGTATGACTTGTAGGTGGTGTCTCTGCGTGAGGAGGAGCGTAAGCTACAGCTCGCCCTGGCTGAGCTGGAGATGCAGCTGGATGATCAGCAGAGGCTGGTGCAGTGGCTGGAGAACGCACTCGATCGCACACAACTGGACACAGATCGCCGGCTGACACAACAGCAGAAGGAACATGAGCGGAGTGTTCAGCTCTTACTGCAGCAGTGTCGAGGTGCAGACCTCACAGACTTATATTCAGTAAAAACAGGGTTTGTTGGTTTGTTTTCATGTCCTCATGTTTGTGTTGTCTTCCTCTCAAAGAGCAAATGGATGAGGGTCTGGCAGGAAGGCAGCGGCAGTTTGAGGGATGGATTCATAACCTCAGTAAGGAGTTGAACCACTACAAAGCAGCAAATCAGGAACTAAGCAACAGACTGAGGGAGGTCTGTGGTTCAGCCAACCAGCCAAAGGAGCAGGCGAGAGGTAAATGTATGTTCAGATCAAAATGTTTTAGTATCAACAACTATGATGAATCTTGTGTTTACAGTTTGCAGCCAGATGTTCTCAGATATCCACATCATGAAGTCATGCTTTGGTTGTACAACATAAAATGACCCTTTCCTCTAAAACCTTCAGGCAAATCGTACTGTCTTATTTTTCCTCACTGATAGCATGCAGCTGAAAGAGAAGTACAGAAAAAAGTCTTAATATCATTATGACTGAAGTAAAAGTGTATGAAAGTCTTTCCAGTAGTAAGAGTTTGGAATTGATCAGGAATTCACTGGAATTAATGCTTTTCAGGCGGGAAAACAAGGTTTGATGAAGAGGTGTGGTTAAACCCGCTACTTTATTTTCACACATTGACGTCTGACATCGTGTTTCTTGGGTAATAATTAGTGTTAAAAACTCATATTGTCTTGTAGTTGTTGCACTTGAAGATAAAGCAGCAAGCATCAGCTGCATGGAGAAGCTGACCCGCTGCCCGGATGAAAGTCCAGGAGGACGAGGGTCCGGCCAGCCTGACAAGCCTGTGAGGTCCAGGGAGGAGATGCGAGAGCTGGTGAACACCCCTCTCCCGTCCACATGGAGACGCTCTTCTCTCCCCTCAGAGGAACCTGCGGTCATGGAGGAGCTGTGGCTTCGAGCAGCTGGGGATGTTCCTGCAAACCGTGTAGTTCAGACTGGTGGGGGGTCCTGGGGCGGGACGACGTCACTGCCTGTTGTAAAATCTCGTAGGGAATCCCGACGCTCCAGCCTCAATGTTGGACCGCTGAGTTCAAACAATGCAATCATTGACGTACGCAAGAATCCTGTCTGAAAATACCTTCCTTACATTACTTGGAAACATTCACATAGAATTTTTTTTTACTTGTATATAAAACTTTTTATGAAACCAGAACACACTGATTTTACATGAAGCACTTTCACTAAAGTCAAGTTTCCATTTCATACAGTATTTGGTATCCAGTACGACAGTTTAGTAGAGATCAATCATTTTTATCAGTGCATAATGAGGTTCTCTCACTTTCCAATCATGTAGGATTTTACCTTCGACAATATTTTTATTAAAATGTTTTTACTTTTGATCTTCATTTGGCTCCTGTTGCTATTTACGCTCAAATTTTCTGAGACCCTTTGACAAGAATGAAGAAATAATTTTTGCCTCTTGGTCTTAAATCCTTTTAAAATCAATGTGTATGACGAATGTTATCACAGTTAGAGCAGATGAAACATGAAAGCTGCCGTAAAATGTCAGATTCGTGTGGGCGTGGAGTCGCATCAAGCTCAGCTGTGATCCAAATTTGCCTGCTTCTGATGCATTTTTAGCTGATTATGCAATCGTGTCAATGCAGAAACAGGGACATGTAATAGCCTAACCAAAATTTTCCAACTCTGCAAAAATAAAGAGGATTAAAAAAGAATTTAGGGACCATAAAGCTAATACTGCAGCTCAGCCAATGTTGCGACTATATTTGTTTATAACCCGTAAGTACTTAAAATATGGGAGCTTTCAGCATGGTATCAAATTATAGTAAAAAGAGAATAATTACAGAATCGACCAAACTTGATTGTATTATCTTAGACAAAGAATTAACAGGAGTTCCTCTACAATTATACCAACACATTATCATCACTGAGCCATTGCAGCAAGCTATCAAACCAGAAAACCATTATTGACATACCTAAAGAGATTGTAAATGTTTAACAGACCCTCCTCTCTGCAGTAACCCTAAACCTCATTGTCATCCAGGATCATTTCAGTTTTCTTTACCCAAAGTCATTCCTCTGAACAAAGAAAGTGCAATACATCTGTGCTGCAACATTTAAACAAGTATTTCTACTATCTCCTTAATCCCTTCCTGCAATGGAGCACAGTGAAAATGAGCTTGTGTGGTAGCAGAGAAGACATGTGAGCAGCAGGGGGCAGTATATATTCAGTGCTGTAGGAGCATCCTTCAGAGGACTTCACTGGTTTGTGAGAATTCTACTTTTTTTTCTTTTCAACTACTTACCCTTCTCCATGCTGATTTTTTTTTATGCTGTAAACCAGGTTTGTCTTCTCTTATCTTCCCTTTAAGTAAAATCCGGTTGACAAAAAGCCCAAACCTCTAAGCAAAAAACATCTGAATGGGTGTAAAAATACAGATACTAATTGGTTCAAATATTGAAGGAAATTATGAACACACAAGTAAAAAAAAATAAACTTGACCATGTTGTTTCCATATTACACCCATTATTAGCCTCATTATACAGGAGTATATTGAAAACCACAGCAGTAAGCATTTTCAGTAGAAAGTATCTTTGTGTATTCTTGTCCTAACAGCTTGATTTAAGTCATATCTTCTCTGAACTCATGATATCATCTATTTAGCTCTTCAAGGCTATCAAGATCTGTGATTTTCTCATCTGTACTCTCCTCAACCAATGCTACCTGGGCCAGTATGTGATGTTAATATCACATTGTTGTGTTGTTTAAATATTTACTTATTTTGCCTATAATCAAAAATACACTATTATTGTAACACCCTCTGACCAATTCACATTGCAGTCTAATATACATGGTTGTCTAACTCTAGACAAAAACTAGGTTATGATTTTACAACAGGACCATAATTAGAAGCAACATTAAACTGTGTTATTCTATAAAATACAGCTGCTTTAGAGCTGATATGCTGACACAGATGGGAAAAATATTTTATTTGGGGGGAATTTTAACATAGGTCAACACAACCACACTGATGAGGCTATTAGCAGTATCTGCCCAGGCATTTCTTTCTTTCTTTCTTTCTTTCTTTCTTCCTTTCTCTTTTCTTTCTTTTGGTCCTCCTTAGTAGGTAATTTCAAAATGTCATCAATCAGGAATAAATCTCTCTGTGCTTCCAACAACCAACTTGAGACTCAAGAGTTGTGCTACCAGAAAAATTACTTTTGAGGCTAACTTCAGGCATCAGTTATCTGTCCACAAGCTTTCCTAGACACTAAAACAAATGTCCCCTTGAACATAGAAAAGACATCTAAAATTTTCCACTGCTGTTGCTTCACATGACATTTAACTCGGTGGGTTAACTTGTTGTACAGCCACCCCTCAGAAAAAAACACATAAAATCCAGAAATGACCTGATGACGAGACACACAGAGGTGTGAAATGTACATCATTCATCAGTTTTCCTCGTAGTGTGCAAAACAGAGTAGTGTGAATGAAAGGAAGGAAAAGGACGAACTGAATTGATGAGTTAGGACGTTCTATCACCACTAGGAGGCGCCAAAAACAAATATTTAAAAAAAAAAACTATTTAATAGATTTTATGTGGAGTTTTTTAACATCTTTAGGTATGGAAAGTTGAGCATGCTCACCATATCAATTCATAATGTCATATTGATAATTGACCATCATATTACCCCCAGATTTAAATTGTATTAACCCAAACAATTGAGTGGCTAGAGTTATTCGTCTGACATGTAGCTCAGGCGAGTTATCGATTTTTAAAAAATAAAATCAAATGTATTGATAAATGGGCTGAGAGATTATCACACCGAGTATCATGATTTAACTGACACCACACTGAAACAATTAAATTTCTGTGACACCCCCCAAAAAACACGCACACACCGATAAGTCGTTCGTGATTGGTCGAAAGCAGCCTGTCGTCGCAGTGACGTCACCGGGGCCGGGTGGGAGGATGAGACGTAGAGAAAAAAACACGGAGTCGGAGAGGAGGTGAGAGGAGACCACCGGAGGATGAGTGAGGGGACAGCGTGCTGCATCCTCACTCACGAGCTCGGACTAAAGGAGGAGACACGCGAAGACCATCCCGCTAATACACACCAGCGCGAGAGCCGGGGAGAAACACTCTCGTGGACACGGATACAAACACACGTTTCAACAAGGATACAACACGGCACCCCGCGGACACCCGGGCTCGAGGGGGACGCTGTGGGATTTATCGATACGATCCACGCGCTCACCTGTTTGTCATGCACGTGTCCTCGTGCATATGTGGAGCCTGAGTGAAGCTGCAGAGTGTTCTTGAACGTGGATGCTTTCAGTCTCCATGGGTACAGGAGGCGTGTTACACCATGTCAAAGTGAGTTTTCTGTCTCTCTTTTTTTTCTTCTTCTTCTTTTTTTATTTACATCATCTCCAGACGTGTTGAATAAAGTACATCTCACTATTTCAGCCTGGTGATGCACGAGTTTAATGTTTAAAAATATAGGGGTATTTTTTTTGATCAATTCATCTTTACATTCAAGTCTGATGTTAAGACGAGGTTCATTATCAGAGTCACAATTTATTACACCGATCACATGGGCTATTCTGCATAATTTCTCATAGTAAAAATGCACATGAATAAAAACATCAGCTTTAATTGAACAAAGTCAGGGTTAGGTGAGTTTACACACATAAAGCTGGAGCATAAACAGGCCTTTTTACACAGCTGCAACAAGAGCCCTTTCATTTACACTTCACACCTTTGGTAACAAAAAAGCTGTAGTCTAATTGATGTTCTCCTCTTTCAAAAGAAAACTAAACCAAAAAACTTTAAAATCTTCTCTCTAATAAATGTTTGTTTCATTTAAAGGCATTAAAATGACATTAAATCTGTGTGAGAATTTTCTCCCACATACAAAGAAAGTGACGCACGCCTCATATTCCCCAATTAAAACAACTGACGTCAGACGCACTGTCAGAGAAAAGCGTGAGTTCATCATTAGGTTATCACAAGTTTACAGATTATAATTGGCTGAAAAAATGCAGGTTAAAACTGGACATTATTGTATTTTCTCAATTCTTTCAAAATGATGTGAAATAGCTGTACATGTAATAGAAGACAGAGCCTTTAGGACTGCTCACCTTAGAGAATTATAAAACTATATGAAGAATATAAGTGAAGCATTGTGTAACTATCTTAAAACAGAAGATGTAAGACTGCATAAACCCTCAAATGGCCACATTGGAAAAGATCTACTTTCATGATGAGAACAATTATCATTCTGCTAAAATAACTTGTGGAGCTAATTTAATGTCAAAGGTGTCTAAAGCAAAGCAGGAGGAGGTATCTTTAGAAAGATGGTGATTTCTTTAACAAAAAAAAAGTATGGGAAGAGGAACAGACATTTATTTTAAAAAAATTGAATATTGTCTAGACTACATGTTGTATCTAATATTTAAAAGTTCAGTACTGTCAAACAGGGATTTAAAGTTCAATGATAGGAGGTGAAACACTTCTTAATAGGCTCATACAGTTCAGGCTGAACTCCATACAGACTTGTTCATTTAGTGAGGTAGGATTAAAGCTTACTGCACATGTCCAAAATTGTCAGTCACATTCACAATGTTGCATATTATTTAATTTTGAAAAACACACAATAGAAAACACTTTTTCTTGTTCTTCAAATTTTCTCACAGGTATGATACAAAAATACAAATGTAATTCTGAATGTGAAATCTGTTAAAGGCTTAGATTCATAGATATAATGTTGTTTACTCACAGGAATCTACAGACTTACATTTGACTGTGACAGTAAAGAGTGGAGCCTGTTCCTGTCTTTGGTTATCTAGCTGTATGAGTGTTAATCATCCATCATAAAGCTAGATAACCGAAAGTAGGAATGCACTCCAAACTCTCTGATTCCTTCAAGGAAGAGGCAGACACCAGAGGATGGCACATCTTAACAGGTGGGTTACAGACATTTTTTATTTTATCTTTTTATTATTGTCAATTTCTTTTTTTAAATGTTAAAGTATAAGAAAGTATAAGTTATTGTCCCAGCACTAGTAATCAGTGGATTTATGGCGAAGAAAAAGTAATAGCTCCCTATTTTACCAGTCTCAGCTTCATGTATCTTAAAATGTTCTTTTGTGAAAATAAATTACACATCTTTGTATTTAGTCCATTGTTCAGACATGATAAGAAGTTTAAGCAATGTATTTGGGTATTGAACAATGTTTTTTATTTTTTTTAAACAAATGTTATCGCATATTACTGAAAATAACTTTTGGTTTCCTCTCTAGTCACAAAAAAGATATAGACAACTGTGCACCAAAACAGTTTTTATGTCTTTATTATTTTAGCATCTTTGTGTATTAAAAATGCTTTGAAAATATCACCCGAGATGAGGTGTATACATCAATATCTCATTCAGTTTCCACTTCTCAAATACCTAATGGTGTTTTTTACGCACACACACACACACACACACACACACAGTAATACTCACTGTTTTGTGTATCGTTTCCATGGGATTAACTTTGTTTTGTCATCAATCAATGACCTCAGGTAACAAGGCAAGACATGTTTATTTGTAAGTACATTTTGACACTAAAGCAATTCACAGTGCCTCGCACAAGACATGAAAAAATGGCTGAGGTTCATTCACAACAGAAGACATTTAAAAGTAATGAAAATACTTAGAAAATCAAAGCAATAATGACATTTAAAACATCAAAAACATAAGGTTATAGCACATGAAAGTTTCTAATACAAGCCTAAAAGTTATGGTACATGCTGTTAAATGAAATAGGCATTATAATGATTTAACAAATAATTGAGTAAAAGAGCTACAAAAAGGTGAGTCTTTATCCTGGATTAAAAAAAAAAAAAAACTGTTTCAGCAAATCTTACATTTTCTGGAGGTTTGTTTCAGATGTCTGGAGCATAAAAAATGAAAACTGCACCTTCACATTTGGTTCTAACTCTTTGGATTAGTCCAAGAAGACCTGAGTTTGCTAGATGGTTTGAAGTGAATGAGGAAATTGCTTTAAATCATTTACTGCTTAACACACCAGCAGCAGTGTTTTAAAATCTGATCTTTGACAACCAGGCAGCCGTGGTTAAGACGTCTGAAGTGGATTGATGTGATCTGCTCCTCTTGGTTTTAGTGAGGACTTGAGCAGCAGAGTTCTGAATTCACTGAGATAAGCTGTGAGGGTGATCATGTCAAATGAAGATGAATACATGGACCTGTTATTCTAAGTCCTGCTGGGACCTAAGTTATGAAAGTTTAAAAAAAGATGCTTTCTTTTTTAGGGAGTTTTTTATTTTGCTCCAAAGTCGTAGTTCAGTGTAGTTGCCTCATCACTGTAAAATCTGTCAAACAAACCTGAACCCATTAGAAACAGAACAAAATTAACTGTTTTTCAGTTTTTCTGAATGATTGAGATGATACAATTTTAATCTGCAGAACACCTACCTGAGCTGAATCAAAAAACACCACCATGAGGTCATTAGATCCTAATTTTTTTAGATAATTGATTCAAAGGAGATTTTACTTTTCTATTGTAGAAAAAAAAAACAGTTATAATTTTCTCTATTTTTGCATAACTGTTACTTTTGTCTTGTTATTATGCTCCACTGGATTCTACATGACCTCTTCTTTTTCTGTAGGTTTTAACACATCCATAAAACACATCATTTTAATTTGGATTACACAAAGGCTTTTTAGTGACATTTAAAGCATACTGTAACCTGTTATTTTACAGAGGTTAAAATACAAAATGAAAATGTTAATAATGGTGATGAAAAATCCTGTTATATATTTTCCTCAGATCTAACCTGCATTTTACATCCTGTGTTTACTCAGACAGAGAGGCCTTTTCTTAACTCATATCAGTCTGATCAGGTTGGAGCTCAGTCTTCTTCTTCTCTGTCTAAGCATCATGTTGTCTCTATGGAGGCCATCTTGGCTGAGTCTCCTGCTGCTTGGTTGTAAAATGGTTGTTGGCACAAAGCAGCCGTATTAATTGCTCGATCGTTAGCGTTCTGCCTGACTGTAATCAGTCAGTCTTTTAGCCGCTCTGTCCTGTCTAATGTCTGATCTCACATCTTCTCCTAGCTTATCGTAAAGGTCATATTACTGTCATCTTTACAGGTCAATCAGCCAGGCAGTGTATATACAGTTTATGACAACTTTACATTAAGCAATGGATGAATATAAGTGATTCACGTAAAGATGATCCAAGGACATTTGGAAAGATAAAAGCAGCTGAACACCCCTGAGAGTCCACTGATCTCACATCAGCCAGTCTAATGAGCTGCTCGAGGTCATGCAAACATTGGCAGACGATCTCTAAATCATGAAGCCTTAATAACCAAAGTTAGATCTAAAATTCAAATGGTTTTTGACATGACAGACTAATAACTTCAATAAACAATAAAGTGATCAATAATTAATGTGTGTACATGAACAGTATGCATTTAAAAAAAGATTAGACATTTATTTGCAGTCTGAGGTGAATAAAAGACTAAAACCACTAATGTTACACATCTATTATATGTGAAAACAGCATGAAAGGGTAATCCAGAAAACTTGAAGGAAATAAAGACATAGAAATAAAAAAAGAGTAAATAAAGAAATACCTCTCTATGCCTTTAAATACATTTCTTGTTAATTTTTTATTTAAAAATTAACTTTTTTACTAACTGAATAGTGAAAGCTGGGATTGTTTTCTCATTGTCTTAATCTCTACTTCTGTGTTAATTTTCTTTCACCAAAAAAAGTCGTGTGTGTGTGTGTGTGTGTGTGTGTGTGTGTGTGTGTGTGTAAACCTGATTTGACAGTAACTTACAGCATTATCAATATACACTTACAAAAACGCCATTAAATATATATTTTTATTCAGCCTGTTTTACGACATTTTCTATAGTTTTTCTTTAAAATGTGTGTTTATTTACTTAAATACATCTTAGATAAATAAGCCTTGTCAGGCCCTAAATATGGTCCTTTTAGGAAATCTACTTTGATGACTTATATTTATTTTGAGTTTAGAGTTAATGACCAATACTTGGCCATCAATTAAACTTATTGTAATTGATCATTGATGTGCTGTAGGCCTAATAACACATGAATCAAATTTACCTGTAGCAAATATGAGAGAAAATCTGTATTTTTTTCCATTTTCATACATTATCAGATAAAAGAGAAAACGAAGAAATACGATGTCAGTCATTTAGGCCTCAGTCTGCAAAACAAGCCCAGTATTTCTGTAAAAGACCCATCTCTTGAAGAGGAAAAAATGAAGAGAAACCCGTCTCTAATAAGTAATTAAATCAATTACAACTCCTCTTTGAGTCCTCTCATATTTTGTAAATAGGCTACATACAGTATGTGCTGATGATATGAGAACTAAAGTCTGAAATGTTTCAGGTGGATTTACAGTTCATCACGGAAATAAAACTAATTCGGCCTGTGGTACGATCGCTTTATGTGTAGGCCTCCAGTTTGTCGATAATGTACTCACAGACGGAGCGAAGTGTTTTCTCCGCAGTGTAGACGGAAACAACAAACAAAAAAACGCTGCTTACAAAATCAAAGTCTCTCTATCCAAAAGTCAGCACCTGTCTTTTCGTGTTTCTGCCCGCCATCATCACTGTGGGAGAGAGAGAGAGAGAGAGAGAGAGAGGGAAAAGCCCGAGTGTCGGTGTAAAGATGTAAAATAAAGGAAACGATCAGAGAAGTGCAGCAGTAATGAATAGAGGCAGACAGGCTGCATATTAACATAATTGCATAGAAACGAGCAGCAGCAGCAGAGAGGATTTAAAGGCGCAGCAGCACCAAGAAGCTCATCGGCCAGTTAGCAGAATAATCAAGTGGACTCATAATCAGAAAGAGGATGCAGAATGTGTACACTTTCATTTCATCTCCTTTTACTGTTGTATTAATTTTATTTTCGTAAACTGTGTTTTTCCATCATGGTTCTGTATGTAGAACCTGTTCCTGCAGTTTTCGAAATGATGCCCTTTAGGCCATTAAAATACTAAAATGACGGGATCTGTATGTGGATATATGAATCCCATAATTCTTCCTATAATAACCAGCAGTGTAAGGCAGAGTTTAGTCCAGTCCCACTCAACCTGTCCTGAGAGAATTTCTAACCTGGCCCCCTGAAGTTATTTACGATTTTTCCTCAAAACTTTCTTTTGTGTTCATTTATTATGGAAAATCCATTTAAAGGAATTTCTGTAAATTAGATTGTGTTTTGTGAAATTGTTTCAATAGTAATATGTTTTTTATTCTTTTTCGTTTTTGTAAAGATAGCCACTTTTATATGAAAAACATTCACACATACATGTTTTAATTGAAAATCAAAATCCTCCCCATCAAGTGACTTATACCTTTAATATTTCCCTGGGAACTGGCCCATGTTACTCTCATTTCTTCGAGTGGTTTGCCCGATTCATTGCCATCCTAATGTAAGATTATACAACATCATATTCGCACAAAGCAATTTTAATTGACACAGAGTCAAATCAATCAAAGCAGGCAGAATAAACTGCACGCTGAATTAAATCCTTGCTGTGTTAACAAAAGGATTTTCCTTTTTTTTTGTTTTATTTTTGCCATTTTTGCACGCATATATACTGGTTTTGAATGCTAAGCGTCTGGCCTCAGAAAATAAAAGGGGAGCTGTCCCTTTATTAAACACAGGCTGTAATTACACAATCAGTTGGGGGTGGGGCAGGTGTGAGGCTGCTGATGACATGAGCTCATACAGGAAAATACAGTATCCCAGGAACACAGAATACCTGTGAAAATCTGCTTTATAACCAGTTCAAAAACGGAGTACATCCATTTAACTCTTTTTCCTTTTTTGTGAGAAACATTTGCTCTTTTATTTTTTTATTATCATTATTGTTAGACAGGAGAGTTTGAACGAGAGACAGCAAATGTTAGTGTGCGTGTGTGTGAGTGGAGGGGGGTGTCTAAGAGGTGATGGATTTTGTCGTACAGTGTCCAACAAACTGAGGCAGATGGAAACTGTAATTTTTTTCCCACATAACTTAAGAAACTCCTCAACTGCTTCAAGAATAGACCGGCCTTTTATTCGCAACCCATTTAACAAGCAGATAAAGGACACACACAGTGACCTGCAGCTGAAATGCACCTGCACACATGCAGAGCCCGGTGCAGAGAATCAGTGGTTGTACGCTGCTGCTGCGGGTTGATGCATTGCTCTCCAGCAGCAGCAGCAGGAAAGTCTGTTAGTAAACATGGGTCCAAATTATCATTCTGATCCTGGATTCACTCCACAATGGCGGCTTTGTGAAAGGAGCACTTGACAAAGGTCCACCACCTCTCTTTTCCCAGCTCCAAGTGTGTGTGTGTGACCATGTGTGTGTGTGTGTGAGAGAGGGGGCTGCAGTGAACCTCTGAGGGCTGTGGGATAGGAACGTCGCGCACACACCAGACATAGGCAGATGCAAATTTAAGTCTGCAGCCATGAGAGTGTCTCCTGGAAAAGTTGTTCCTTTGTCTCTCTGCCTCTTTATGCCTGGGGTGGGGGGGTGATCCTCTCACAGTTAGTGTGTGAAGAGTGTGTGGTCTCACACTGCAGCCGCTGTGTCACATATGAATTCTCCTTGGTGCTTTTAGTGAGAGCGTAATGCTAATGACCAATTCTGTTATTTTGAAAGATGTATCGGTATTACTCTGTTATTGTATGAAAGAAAAAAAATCCAAAAGCCACAGCAGAGGGCACATTTGTTTAGGGATGGACGTGATTTTCTGAATTAAAGTTGTTCAGTTTCCAATTTTTTAGTCACCAAAATCCAAAAATATCTCTTAATATTCATGCTAATTTAATCTTTAAGCAATGTAAAGTAGGAAGATGACCTGTAACCCTCTTTTAATAAAGTATCATAGACGATAAGATCCTGTTTCACTGATCGAGCTCAACTAAATCAAATGTTTGTTAATGAGTTTCTTTACTTGATCTGCACCACTCCCACACACTTTAAGTTTCACAGATTCACAGATAAACTAAGATATAACTCCAAAATCAGACTGAGATCTACTGGCATAATCCAAACAGCCTCGTATCTCAGACTCAGACCCTGTGTGGACCTGCAGGCCTCATGAAGGTGGATCATTGTGCGTTTCTCTTCAGCCCCACAGCTGCCATCCCGTCTTAATCTGGGGATACATGCGATTATCCTGCCACGGCTTGTAACAGCGACAGGGGACCTTTCACAGGTCCTTTTTCCCCATGGTCCACTGAGTCAGAGCGGCTGAGACCCCTGATATGTCCCAGTCGCCTTTAGGGGCTTTAGGCTGCGGCAGACAGGGACGTCACAAACAGACATCGAGGCAGAGAGATGGATTGAACCTGATGTAAACTACTCAACCACTGTGTGGCATCATAAATGGACAAGAAATAATGAAATGAAGGTGAATTTTCTCTTATAAACTCAGAATCAAATCCATCAGTCTGATGTTACTCACAAATGTATGAAGAATTAAAGAGTATCAATGTGAACCTCAATGCCAGATCACTGAGGAGTTGATTTCCATTCTCTCCCGCCACTCGTTCAGACTGTCAGTCAAGTTCAAGTTCACAGGGGTGGAAGTGTCTCGACTGCCCATTCATGCCAGCCGTTCCTCCCCCAAAACGCCCCCCTCTCTCCCTTGTGCAGAGGTCTGACTGCATGGCGTTCCTATGACAGAAGGGTTTTGGCGTTGTTATGGTGACAGGCAGGACGGCCCGGGTATGTGCTGCTCAAAAGGACAAACTGTCAGGAGGAGAGAGAGAGACAGACAGAGAGAGAGAGAGAGAGAGAGAGAGAGAGAGAGAGAGAGAGAGAGGAGATTCAGGTCCCCCCAACAGCTGGGCACAGACAAACCCCCAACCCCCCCACCCACCCAGTGAGGTCTTTCACACACCACCAAGACCCTGGGAACACCGAAAAATTTGTCATATATCATCCTCATTTACACACACAGACCCCCCCCCCCCCCCCACACACACACACACACACACACACACACACACACTCTAACACACTCTAACTTTTACATAACACCACATCACTATTCACCTAAATACCCCCCCCACACACACACACAAATATGCTGTAAAATTACTGTTATATCCCAACTTTTACATCCAACATCACTCAACACCACTCTTTACCTAAATGCCCACACACATGCACACATACACACACACATGCACACAATTCTGTCTCTCCTTCTCACCTTGCTTCATTAAGTCCACACATGTGTTATTTGCAAAGAATTTCCAATACCAACACAAAAGATCAAACAGCAGGAGTAAGAGTGTAACAACACACATTTCATACGGAGTCTGTGCATACTGTAGTGCATGTGTGTGTGAGTGTGTGTGTGTTTGAGGGAGAGAGATTTTCTTGTTAAGATCTTATTCAACTTTGAGCATGAAAGGCGGATCATTTGCATAAACTGCATGCTGTCTGTCTGAGGGTCTTTTTTTGGGCGGGGGGGGTGCAGCAGTGAAAAAAGATATGAGGGAACATGAAAGAAGAGGGAGCAGGATGGTGCACTGGGGGACTGCAGGAAGAAAGAGGAGGTTTGAATAAGAGAGGGGGTGAAAATTGGCAAAGAAAGGGTCTTACCATGTCTCACAGTGGGATTAAAATGTCCAGGATCTTCTCTGTATAATGTGGTGAATGTGGCAGCAGCATGGCTGCAGGGCTGATCTCACGTCAGCTACCGCCTTTACTCCATCAGAGGAGAGGTGCTTAAACTGAGATGATGCAACCAGTAACAGATGAGTGTTAACATTTACAGACAAAATTATATCTGACTGCATACTGGTATGTGTCGTATATGTTACTGAGATAATCATGGTTTCTCATACTGTGGTGTTTGTCTGATTTGTTTTATTAGAAAAGGACCATCCTGACGCAGACACTCCTGTTCCTCGGTGGATCTTTGGCATCATTTGTGTGTTAATCATGAGGAATCACATGGATTCATGTGTTCGTGCCTCAGTGTAGAAATCTACTCAACACATATGGACTCCCGATGCATCTGAACAAAGTTATTTCCAGACAATTTGACATGCTTCATTTTCCGACTTGTGATTTTGAAAAAAGAAGAATGACAACCATTGAAATCAAATGTGCAGAACTCACTGTCACTGTTATTCTTATATATTTTTAACCCTCAAACAGTATGATGGTATTGAAAATGATCAAATCAAGTGCACTTGAATTTTTTGCTCTTTACTAAATAAAATAAATGTTTGAAAAAATGTCCCGTGTGTCATTATTTGCCTTGTTTAGTTGTTCATAGAGACAGATCAAGGTCAGTACCTCGCAGTCACAGACTAAGGCAGCTGTTTAAAAAGACCCATCAGTGATACACTGTCATCTCTCTAATGATAGTTTGATTGACAAACATGTGCCTGAATCGATGTTTCTACAAAGACCAGATTCATTTCATTCCATTCATACAACTTTGGAATAATGAATAAATGGTTCCAGCTTCTGAGCCAGATAGTAAGTGTCCGACAAGACAAATCGATTACTATTGATACTCTCTCACTACACTGGTTATGGTGCTATTTTAACACACAATGTAACTGTCTATTGTTGAAGTGCTATTATAGTTATTAAGGTTACACAAACAGTTGTAGATAGACTGTTGTTTGACCCTTGTGTACTTTGATTGGTGATTCGGTGGTCATGCTTTGGGGGATCCAGCTCCGCCACCTCATTCAGTTACAACCAGTGAAAACAAGATCTCCACCTGTGGTTTCACTGAGTCTCATATATTTCCCCCGTTCAAAGTAACTTCACACACAAAACACTAAGGACACATTTTAGCAATCATTTTCTTCATGTTCTTCATGAGCGCTAAAAGTTGATTTAGCTGGTGAAAAGAACATTTGTGCTCTGTAGTGTCAGGTTTATGTTTGTTTGACCCTTGCTACCTGCTTAAATCAGTCGAGTTCCTTATTTACTTAGACCTCCCTCATGTCATATACAGATTTTTTTTCCCTGTAAAAAAATAAATACATATAAATGAATTCATCTCATACAGCTTTATGGCAATAAACTTGTGTGTACAATATTCAGGAACTTTCCATCCCACAGAGAAAGAGGCTGCCATCTTTGTTTTGGCCTCTTGATCAGAGGCTGTATCTACAATCAGCTGACCTAACGATCCAATCAGAGGAGAAGGCAGCCTGAAACAGCGGTCACAGTCTGCTCCTCAGCCCTGGGACTCTCTCCCACCTATAACCACTATATTACTGACCAGCTCCCACATTTTAAATCCACACTCAAAACTTATCTGTTTAAACTGGTTTACTCAATCTGACCACAACTCCGCTGTCCATACTTTAAACATTATTTAAATAGTATTTCACAACGGTTTGTTTTTTAAAACTCTATTTGTTTTAATGATGTAAGGTGACCTTGAGTGTCAAGAAAGGCACCAAATAAATGGATTATTATTTTTTTTTAATTATTATTATTGGAATACTAAAAATAAAACTATTTTTAATGGGTTCATCTTATTTAGCTCATTTGATACAAGTAGATCTGTGCTTTCTCTGGGCAGTAATATATTGCTGCTGCACTTACGTGATCTTTTTTCATTACACTTCACTGATATTTTCATCTCATGATATTGAAAACATCATTTAAAATATGTTAAAAACATCAGATTAACCTTGTTTTATTTCATATGTCTGTTTTAATGTTGATTTTCATGTAAACTTCTTCCTGAACACAAGTTTGTTCTTTAAAAAGCATTTTCATAATTACTTGTCTTAATCAGGGATATTTCATACAAGTATAAAAAAGTCTAAAATCAAAGTGTTTTATGGTTCATTACATCCACTAAACGTGACACAGAGGCCTGTCTGTCTGTGATGTCTTGTTGCAGATTAGTGACCTGCCTCCCACATTGTGGAGATCTTGTGTCCGCAGAGTGTTAACCTGCTGCTGGACAGAGGGAGTCATGACCTTTAACTCTCTTGGGACACAGTCTGACCCGACACAAGCCGAATGACAAGCTGAAGAAATCTTTAATTTATGTGACTTGAGGACTTAATAAAACTTTGAGCCGCATTTCCTCTTTTTTTACAACAGCCTTCATGATGTCCTGACCTGTCACATCTTCTGGTAAGTTAAAGTCATGGAAAACGTATTTGTGTATGTGTACAGAGTCAGACCATGCTGTCTTTACACATGTATGTTTAGTCTATTTGAAGTGTAAACTTACTGCAGGCTGTACACAGTTCAGACCTCACTGTTGCAAAATCACATTTTATAAAAAGAAGTTCCTTAAAATGTTGGACTGAAGTTTCATTATGAAGAACACAATGCCCTGCACAGAGCCATGAACTCTACAGACACTTGTAAGGCCCTGTAAAACATATGCGTTGTTTCAAAGAGTGAATGTTTATTTCCCTGTTTTAGACTTCAGTCTTTTGGCGGCATTTTCATAAGGGTGTAGTTTAACACTTTTAAAATATTTTATTTGTAACTTCATGTTCACGCCACCATCAGTGTAAGTTGTGAGACATCCACAGACTTCTCTCAGACAACTCAACTCTGCCTCATGAATGCCGAGCAGGCAGCTGTGGTAGCTCTGTGTGCATGGAGAGCTGAAGATGATGCTCCAGTCATTTATATCTTCCAACTGAGTGAGCTTTAGGTCTTGTACTCTGCGTTTGCATAAGAATAGAATCAGGTCCTGTGAACTTCCCCAACCTATTGACCTGGCTCCCCAGATATGAATGGCTGCGCTTTGAGGCTCCCCAGCCTCTCAAACAGACTCTAAGCATGCCTTAAGTCCCCAATCATGGTAATTTAATATATCTGAAGCCCCTGGCTGTTTGCTGGAGCCCCTCCACAGTTTGTTTTAGGCATTCTCTGCTTCTCACCTCATCAACACTGCTCCTTATCTGGCAGGAGGGGCTGCAAGTTCTCTTTCAACAGCCAAATAAGCCTCCAGTCTGTATAATTAGGAAAAGGATTTTTCTTTTATTATTCAGTCTTTTGATTTAGAAGAAACATGAAAATCTCATGAAGATGGAGAACAACTGTGTTAATGGCGGCAGACATCGTCCAGTGAACTTTAGTTTTATCAGTGAAGTTCTTGTAAATATACAGCTAGGTGTTTATGTCATGTAGAGATAGTCTTAAAAATGTACCCTGATCATAGGAAGCTTTTCTTTTACTTCACAGTAATAGTTGTTCTTATTTTTCAAGTTACAGAGTTGTCAATATTGTGAGTGATTTGCAGAAAGAAAGATCCTCACACCTTTACCAGCCCAGTTTTTCTTTGGGTTCTTTGGAGGCTTTTTACTCTGTTAGATGTGCAAAGTAACAACATGATTTAGCAGAGTTTTGAAATGGAAAAACTATTACATAATCATAAGATTGCAGCTTGTGGAATCTCTAAAACTAAAGTTAAAAGCATACCATATCAACAACAATAAAACACACCTTAAATGATCACTGGAAATATTTATGGTATTGTTTTAAATGTGTGTTTACTTTCTGCATTGTAAGTGTGTGATTAAGACTGGAAAGACACTAGTTTGCACCTCTGAACACACATCGAGCAGACATTGAGCTGAAGACGCTTCCTCAGGCCCAAAAAACAAAACAGCAGCTCAATATTACAGGTTTCATTTGAGCCATATGCTATAAACTAACTGCCGAAAGATTTTTTTTAAAGAGGCCATGGTTTCATTTTTCCACACCTCTGTGTTTAGGTATTTCATTTGCCCCTCAAAATATGAGACAAATGCTCCATTTGTGTCGCCCGTTTCAACTGGCACGCCACTTTCTTTTTCTCACATTTCCTTTCTCTTTAGCTGTCCGACAGAATGAAAATGTCTCTGCAATTTGGCAAATAAAGAAAACCTTTACCTTTAAATGTGTCCAAGGGTACAGCTGGCTGAGATACCCTAAGACCAAGATCCAAGTCGTGGTTTGCCACATGGCTGCATGTGCTTGTGCTAATTTTTGCAGGTACCAGATAACTGAGGCATGATTTTGCTACTGCTAAAAATGTAACAGGGCTCCTGTTACACACTGAAGGCTTGATTATAAATAAATGGTTGAACATAGCAGTGAAAGTGCCCAGAAGTTGTGAAGAGTAGAGGCGGAAAGAAGTAACAGCAAAGCATTCAATACACCATCAAGAATTAGAGTTACCTCACAGTAACAAGTCTAAATTTTCTCTTACTTTATGGACAAATGTTTCTTTAAAAGCAACTTAATTTTGGTAAAAAGTAAAACAACTCATAAAATCTTTGACTTTTCACAGTTTGAAACAAGCTCACCTTCAAAAATGTTTTAGTCCCGTTTGTGACATTTGACTTAAAAGGCTAAATAAATCAAAGTCATTGTTACTGTGGCACCACCTACTGGTCTAAAGCACACTGTGTTCCTTCCTACATTGCCTGCTTTTACCTCCTCACTGTCTAACAACGAATATATTGAACATACGCACATAAAGGGGACAAGTTTTATGATTTCAAAGTTATGTGTGTGTTTGCTTCTCTGGGAGTAAATCCATCAAACAAAGAGGGGTTGTTGCACAGCAGCGACGTTTCTCTATTTACAAACAACTTAAATTCTTTAAAGACCCTTGAAGAAATATGTTGAACACACATTATGATGATTGGGGCAAATTTATATGAATATCAAACTAACATGCTGAATAAAGAATTTATGTGCAAGAAAACTGGGGTATGAACTCCATCACCCCAAAGTGCTTATATGCTAATTACCACTCTGCATATTCTCACTTGTACCAAGTACAAATAACCTACATTTTTTTCCCATACAGAAGGTCTGTCAGAGTGATTTTGAATAAAAGACCTCTTATCCGCAGTATCTAATGATGTAAAGGAACAACTCAAACACATACATAAGTAAACTTTCAACTGTGCTCTTGTTTGTCCTGAATGTAAGGCTTTGTCTCAGAGCACTGTGAGGCCTGCTGAGATGTAGGATAAGGCAAACATGCACATTTTCCCAAACACAGAGAAGTGACCAGTGCTGAATTGAGGAGCTCATCAAAGTTTGAGGCACAAATACCATCCTGCTCTGCTGATATACAAACCCTGAGAGGAGAGATGTGTACAAGACAACAAAGTTCACATTTGTTTCCTTCCCCTTCACGTCCCAATCAAAGCATCTAATTAACACGGCTTCTTTTCATACAGTGCAGATCACATAGTAGCAATTATCTGAGCAAACTTTGATGAGGTGAAATACCCAGTATTC